TTATTTCCTTGTAGATTTCCTTTAGGTCCAAGGCTTCTAAGACATGATTTCTGTTTTCTGCATTACAACATTCATAGGATTCTGGGTGTTGAGCCAGAACACAGCTTGTTGCATGTGTCACCTTCCTAAAATATGCAGGCCTTTCCTCCACACTGGCGTGAAAAACCTCAGACACGCACAGTGATCTTGTTCAAACCCTGCTTTGTACCCCTGCATTTTAGTTTGCTGCTGTGCAGACAGCTTCCTGTAACTGAGAAGAAAGTACATTAACCAAGACAAGTAAGAGACTATACGATCCAAATCCAGAATCCAAACTAAACTAAACGAATTAGAATGTGGAATTTGGAAATTAGAAGCCCTTTATTTCATTTCCATTGTATTAAGAATGCACAAAGTAGGCTTCTACTGACAGACATTCTCGGAGTTGCATGGTAGCATGGCTTACAACTAGGAAGCCAGAGGATGAAGACATATTGACAGGCATTTTTAGAAATTCCTGTTTAGATATTGAGTTACAGCAATATTACCAACATTAGGAAAAGAGGGTGACCTGAAGGAGAGGGAAGTCTCTAAACATCTGCTTTGGGCCAGACTTGTAAGTACCATTTTGAAAGAGATCAAGGCTGTAAAGAGCCCCCACAAGGAGGGCTTTGATGAGGATGGGAGAAGGACACACAGGCTGAGGAGCTTCTTGAACATGAGAGGCCCCAGGGGAAATGCTGGAGGTGGCAAAGGCGGTAGGTGATCCTATGTGGGGAATTTGGTTTCAGGAATCAGTTGCAGCAAGCTTAGTTCTGCCCGTGAGATCTACACCAGTGATCTAAAACAGAACGGAGGCTGCTGCAGTGAAAACCAAACTATTCCCACACCCAGCAGGGCGAGGTCACTTATCATGCCGTGAGTCTGGTCCTGCCTGGGCTCTCCCACGTGCTGAAGGCATGGCACTGACTCAGTCGTGGCCTGTGGTCCCTCATCCTCCAGGGTCCAGCTGGGCTTGTCGTGGGGGCCAGGCAGGGCTCTGAGAGCACCTACGACCAAGCTCCAAAGGATACCATGTCGCAACTGCTGCACAGTGCTGGTCAGATCCAGCCTGGCCCCAGTGGCCAGGGAAACAGACCCCATCTCTTGCTGGAAGGAACTAGAGTCACACTGCAGAGAGATGTAGATAGCACAGAAGGCAATGATGTGGCTTGTTGAAAATAATTTACTAGAAGATCCTTCTAATTTGTTATGATGAGGACTATGTAAGTGATAGTATCTTTTGCTGGCTTGTAAGCTTGTGGTCTTTATATTTCTAGTCATTGTAAATATTTCTGTTATGAGTTCCTTTAAATGCTTTTCGCAACACCAGGCGTGGTAGCGCTTGCCTTTCACAAGTTCCAGCCCAGCCTGGGCAACTTAGCAACAACTTAGCAAAATTGTCTCACAGCAAAAAGTACAAAGAGGATGGAGCGGTAGCTCAGGGGCATGACCCTGGGTTCAATTTCCAGTAGTGAAAAAAATGCTTCGTGTAGGACAAGGCAGTCAAATAAACGAGGTGACCAGGGAACACAAGAAGGGATGAATAAAGAACAGGAGTAATATTGCCCTTTTTCTCCTCCAAGCACAAGGAAATTTCCTCCAAGTGACCGGGCTTGAGTTGTTTCTAGCGTCTTTGCACATAGCACCACGCGTCTGCCTCACTCGTGGAGGATGTGGTTTCCAGACTCCTGATTGTCTTCCCTCTCTGTCTGCACAGCTCGGAGATGAAGATTCTCATCTTACCCGGTGTTTCTGATTGGCTGCCAGTGACAAAGAGGAGGTTGTTTGTTGCTCTTTTCTATTTAAACCCAATGCAAGTCTTTGCATTTATTGTTTGAAATCATAGCCCGGCAGCTTTCTAGCTTGCTAAGATAATGTCGGGTTTCCATTTTGTCCTCTGGGAAGGAGTTCTGTCCGTGGGGGTGGGGCATCTCAGTGACACAGGTGACGAACGCACACTTCTCACTCAGGACTCTGTGGGGCAGGTGCATCTGTGCCAGGTGGTGGGATCAAGGGGTCCACACACCTCTCCTTCAGGCCCCAGGCTAGAGAAGCAGCAGCTACCAGGGGGCAGGCTGTCTGCTGGCCCAGGCAGGGAGCCCAGGACCACCAGTCAGTCCCCACAGACCACGAGCAGTTCCAGGTCAGACGGTAGGACCTGGAAACTGCTGCTCTTCCCTTGGCCAGAGCAAGTCATGCAGAGTGCAGAGGGGAATGCTACCCGTGGTGTGCCCACGATGCTGCAGGAGGGAAAGAAAAGATTGGAAAAGAATACAGTTCACCAGGCATGGAGTCAGCTACTTTTTCCCTAGTTATGTATCTAATGCAAATGTGATATTGTTGATAAAAAGATATAGCTTCCCAAGCTGACGTCTATCATGGGTTTGGATCTTGCGGTTTATGGATCTCTAGCTTTTTATTTATTTTGTTTGTTTTTTGTTAACGCAGTCAATATATTAAGTAGTCACACTTATAGTTTGCCTGCCAAGAATTTAGAATCATAGAGGGATAAACTTGGATGCTTCAGCAATCTGAATAAGAAGGGAGCATCAACATTAAAAGCATTAGGAGAGAGCAGGACATAGGGAAGCTTAGTTGGGTCATTGGACAATGACACACAAGGCTGGAAAGAAAGGTGGGAACATTTGCAGAGGCTCCAGACCAGAAGTCAGCTCACTACTGGCTTCACTCGAGTGCATGTGTGATGAGAAAACAGAGATGGAGAGAGTGAAAAGCTCTAATTATGCACACACGCCACATCACATCCCCGGGAACTTGTGCAGATCCTTCTCCATCCAGAGTTGCCTTATTGTTCAAGGCTGGACTCAAATCCCATGCACTTGAAGGACCCAATTGGTTTCATGGGCCTTGGCCATGCCTACCTGTGAAGGTGGCACGTAACCTGAGGTTTGACGCTGAGACATGGAAGAGGAGTTGGCCAGCAAAGAAGATGGGAAGAGGAATGCTGGCTCAAGGGGCTTTCCAGAGAGAGAACTGCGGTAAGAAGGCCCTGAGCTTGGGGAAAAGAGTTTGGCATAGTTGACGAACAAAATGCTGAAGTAAGCAAAGGAGAGTGGCACAAGATGGGGCTAGAGAAAGTGATAGGGAAACCAGGGCTTTATAGGCTGTATTAAGAAATTTGAAATTTATAAGCACAAGAAAAACCAGCATAAGATTTTTCAGGTTGGCCAGCGACGTGACCTGCTTTGTAATTAAAAAAAAATCACTTGGGGCCAGGGATGTAGTTCAGTGGTAGAGCGCTTGCCTAGCATGTGCAAGGGCCTGAGTTCCACCCCTAGCACTGAAAAAGCTATTCACTCAAACTGAGTGTGAAGAATGAATGGAATGGGGCCTGAGAGCTGAGAGGAGGCCGCCGTCTGGGCTCCCACTGCACTGTCCAGGTGGGAGTAAAGCGGGCGGCAGAGCACAGGGAAAGGAGTAACTGAGACTGGGCACTGATTAGGAGACGGAATCAGTGGGCTTGAGGATCAGGTACAGCCGAGGGGCAAGGGTGTGTCAAGGATGACTTCCGGCCTCTTGGCATGTACCATTAACAGGAAATGAGCAGGCCTAAAGAGGAGGGTGGCTTTGGTATTTTTTGTTGGTTTTTTTCTTGGTGCCGGGGATCAAACTCGGGTCCTTGTGCTTCTGAGGCAGGCGGTGGAACCACTGAGCTAAATCCCCAGCCTGGCTTTGGTATCTTTAATTTTTAAATTTTTATAAGTCTGTCTTTGCAGTACATAATGATTACACTCATTGTGGAGAGTCGCTAAATATAACATCTTAATTCTTTTTACTTCCCCTTCCCCTCCTCTCGCCCTTCTCCACCTCTAGATCCCCCTCCTCATTTGCAAAAGATCTATCTCCGTTTCCTAGTGTCTATTTTTACTTTGCTCTTTGAATTACTTATACTTTGGATTTCTCATATAAGAGAAACCATGTGATATTTAAACCCACGTGTCTGATTTATTTCATTTCACATTATGGTCTCAAAGTGCATCCATTTTTCTATAAATGACTGGTTTACCCTTCTTTATGGCAGAATAGTATTCCATTGTGTATAAATACCACATTTTCTTTATCTATTAGTCTGTTGCACATATAGGCTGCTTCCAAGGTTTAGTATGAGTTGTACTGCTATAAACATGGGTATACGTGTATCACTGTAATATGGTGTCTTTAACTCTTTTGGAAAGATACCTAGGGAATAGCTGGGTGGGATGGAATTTCTACTGTTACTTTTCTGAGAAATCTCCATAGTGATTTCCACAGTAGTTGCAGAAGTTCACATTCCCACCAAAAACGAAGAAGGGCCTCCTCCACCTGCAGCCTCGCCAGCATTCTCTATTTGAGCTCCGGATGAGGACCATGCTCTCTGGGGTAAGATGGAATCTGGCGCTATTGCACCTGCACGTCCCCAGGGCTGGTACCCAGCATCTCTAGGCGGCTGAGGTCACTGGGTATCCTAGTAGGGTCGCAGAGCCAATCAGGTTCGTATTCAGGAGCCCTCCATCTAGAAGGACCCAGAAGCTGGGAGAAAAGGGTGGGAGCTGCCAGCCCTGGGTCAGGCTGGGACAGAGACAGCAGTCCGGGCGACAGGAGCAAGGAAGACGTGTTGCTATGGAGAGCAAGGAAGAAGGCGTCGCCAGACTGCAGCGTGCATTATGCCAAGGCTTCAGGGGATCAGGTAAGGCCAGGACCAAAATGTGTGCAGCGCCTGGGTTTAACAAGAGGAAAGTCAGCTGCTAGACTGTTCCCAGAACGACACCATCCCGAACCCTGTCCTCTGCCCGGAAGATCGGCGCCGCGGCTATCCCGCAGCGGCTCCCCTGCCGTCCCGGAGCACGCGGACGCTGGAGTCCCGCCCCCGGCTGGGGCGTGCGGAGGGAGGCGCGCCGCGCACGGAACAGCCGCACCCGATTGGCCGAGCACAGAGCCGGCGATTGGCCGAGGCGGCGAGGGCGGAAGGGGGCGTGGCGGCGGCGGGACCTTTTCCCGCTGGTTGCTTTCGGTTCCCAGCCTCCGGTCCGCGACCAGCGCAGTCGGTGTCGACCCCGCCTTGACCACCGCTGCCCCAGCTTCGGCTCCGCGATCCCTGGTGAAACAGCTTCACCCGCGGGCCCCACTGTCCCCGAGCCTCCCGCCCTGTGTCCGCCCTGCTCCTTCGCGGCGACCCCTCCTCCTGCGGAAAGTCCGAGCGGCGTCGCGGACCGAGTGGACTCCGGCCGGGCCCGACCCGACCGCGGCGGCGCTGAGCCCTGCCCGAGGCACAGCCCCTCTGAGCGCCCGCCGCCAGGTCAGTGCCCGGCCCTGGGAACGACCGGACCTTCAGTCTTCTTGGTGCCGTTGTTTGATACTAACGTTAATGTTAGTGACCGGTGTGTGTTCGCAGTGTGTGATTGCGCGCACCGCGGGAGTCGGTGCGTGTACGGATCGCACCTCATTGCTTCCTCAGCCCTCACCCGTTCCTCCATGTCTTGGTCCTGTTCCCGTTTGTCAAGGCTTGAGCTCCCTGTTATCTCGTTTTGCTCTTTAGTTTATTTATACTGGGGGTTTGTCATATAAGAGAAACCATGCAGTATTTAAGCCTGCATGTCTGTTGTACTTGGCTTCGTTTTATGGTCTCAAGGTGCACCCGTTATTATGTCAGTGTTTGAGGGCGAGGAACGTGCTGAGCTCCAGGAACGTAAAAGCAGGATTTAGTTCCAAATAATGTAATTGCTCTTGTAAAGATAAATTCTGAGCTGTACCAAAGAGTTCTCGGGCAGATATATAGAAGTGCGGTTGTTTGTGCCTCGGATGTTGTTTCTGTAGGTTAGAGAAGGAGTTTTTGTTGGTATAGAAATAAGACAGCCTCCAGCACAATCACAGTGTGCACCATTGGTACACAGTGTGTACCAGTGTGTTCCACAATCAGTGTGTACCATTGGTTAATGAGGACGCTGCCCTGGAACTTGTGTGATTATTTGAAACGTACAGGATTTCAGTTGAACAAACTTAGTGAGCACCTACTGTATGCAGAAGTGTCCAAGGCTCAGAAGGTGGTAAAAAGGAAAGTGAGCCCTGGGGTGCCGGAGCTTACACTCTCTGTGGGACAGGAGATGTCATAGCGCTTTATGAGGAAGATTGATGCAGGGACAGGGCATGATGAGGACAGGTCAAGGTCGTCTCTGGGAAGTCTCAGACCCAGGGCGTTTATACCTCGCTTTGATTGCTGGTAAGATTGAGAGAGGAGAGGCTGTTTTCAAAAGGGTGAGTGACAGTTGGGAAAAGCACAAAAAATTCAGTAATGCAGAGGACCGTAATATTGATTATGCCCAAGGCAGGCTGTGAAGTTAACCCCACAGTTGGCTTCTTTATAGAAGTGAGCCTGGCTGAAGCCTACATGCCAAGGTCAGAGTAACTTGCACCCAAATTCCTTTCCCACAACTAAACCTTCTAACTAGAAGGACAATGTTCCAATTACAAGCATATGTTTTGTCTATTCTGTTCCTGCTTTGAGAATGCTTTGTCTTGTGCTTTATGAGCCTTGTTTACATTAAATTCCATAGAAACCACACATAGTCCTGCCCTTGCATGTGGCTCACCTTTACCCCAATTGATTGTCAATAAAGTCAGTGCCTGGGACTGGCCAGCACCTTTGTCGGTTGCACTGGCATTGGTCGTCCTGGTGCCCCGCTTTCTCTCCTAGTTCTGTCTCTTAGTGTATTTTTTTCCTCAGGCCTGCATCGTGTACTGGGCTGGTGGATACTGGAACCTGACTACAGGGGTCTCTGGCACAGTAAAAAAATACATGAATAGTTTGGTGTCTGGTTGCTTTGTTGCTGGATGAAGACGTGGTGGGATGGAAATCAGCCTCAGAATGGACAGACTTGCATTTTTGCGCAGGAATATGGTCCAGCCCTGGTGCTCAGAGGCCAAGTTGGAGAGAGAGTGTTGGAGGCAGGAGAGGAAGGAGTCCACCCTGCATTTGGGGGTGATGTGGGGTGGCCGTGCCACTCCCTGGGTTGGTACCCAGTTTCCTGAGAAGGTGGGATTGATTCTGGATATGTTAACATGAATTTATTGATTCACCTGCTGTGTGCCAGGTACCCTGTTTGCATTAGCTCGTGCAGTCCTAACCAGCTTGAGAAGGGAGCTTCTGAGACTGCTTGGCTCAGAGGGATGCATTGTAGCCTCCCACTGCCTGATGGTCCAGTGTATGTGCCCGAGACTCCTGCCTGGCAGGAGGGAGACAGCTGCAGATCTGGAGCCTTCTGCTCAGATAAAGTAAATTTGAAGTGCAAAACGAGCTTGCTGCAGCAGAGGTGCCAGGGTGTGGCCTTGGGGCATCTTTACTGGGATGATGGTGACTAGCTTTGTGGTGTACAGGACTCCTCGCTCTTTGGACAGGCGCTGGTGGAGTAGGTGTGACTTCGTGCCTGCACATGTGTGTGCTCACGCTAGGCGTCCTGAAGATCCAGACCCCGTTGTCCGAGGTCTGGTGGGGCAAGATCTTTTGGGACAGTTCTGAGTGTTGCCAACCGGGCACTGCACCCCTGCTCGGATCTGGATCTGGATCCTATCATGTGATGGTCATGAGGCTCTGTGTTCCGAATGGATTTTTGGACTTTCTTAAATCAGGGTTTTGTATCTTTTAATCTTGAGAACCACCACATAAAAACTGGCTTAATAGTTATCCAAAGAGGTATTACCTTCAAATTGTATTTAACATTGTTGTATCAGTCTTTAAAAAATCATTACTGAAATTTAGGAGTTCTTTGTGGCAGATTTGTTGCTTGTAGTAGGCATAAAAATGTATATCTCTTAAAATGTGTATAACAAAAATATTAACTTCACAATGTAAATCATAAAATATGAAATACCAGCTAAAAGTATTTGGGGTTAAATTACAACCATACTGTAATTTGTAGGAGAGCAGTTTTTAGAGAGTTCTTGTGACTTGTCTTAAATTTAATAATACTTTCCATTTATTTATTTGACAAAAGTACAATGTTATTTTAAAGTCATATTTATTGATGTTATTTTAAAGTCATATTTATTGGACAAAACTACTTTGTGCCTGACATTCTGGAGCAACCCCAATAAATAGAAATCCCCTAAATACTTCTCTTCATCAGCCTAAAACAGACAATAATCAGAATTTTAAAATATATGTGTGGTACATCAGAAGGTGGTTTGTGCTGTGAAGAAAAACATTCCAGGGGAGGGGATCGTGTTATCCAGGGTAAGAGGTGATCGCAGTTGCAAAAGGTGGCAGAGGAGCGTCCCTGATCCATGGACATTTGACTTGAAAATGTATTTCCTGGTGAAGAAAAAAAATGTTGACCAAAAAGCGGGTTTTGGATATAGGTACCATTTAAATAACATTTCAGAGACCAGTGATGGCCTGGGTTACACTAGAGAGTAAGTAGTCAGGCTTGAGGGCTTCGTTCATGGTGTGTCTTTCCTCCCGCAGGATGTCTCAGTGGTATGAGCTCCAACAGCTGGACTCCAAGTTCCTGGAGCAGGTCCACCAGCTCTATGATGACAGTTTCCCCATGGAAATCAGGCAGTACCTGGCCCAGTGGCTAGAAAAGCAAGACTGGTGAGCGCAACTCACTGGGCAGGGGAGAAGAGTTTATCCACGCTTTAAAGATGGTTGTTTGTGAAGGCGAATCTCCTCCACAGCCCTGGGGTCACTTGTCACAGAAAACTTTGTTGATTTAAAAAAGGTCGTGTGTCTCTGTGAAGCTAAATTCATTAATCACTGGGCACTTTGACATAGTTTTATTAAATTTAAGTGTAATATGTATTCACAGATGCTTTGGGCAAGTTGGACAATACTGACACTAGTTCTTTTCCAACTTGACATCCAGATTATGGAAAGAATTAGTTTAAAAGAAATAATTAAAGGCACATTGTGGTAAAACATCGATTAAAAATATAAATAAGGTCATAAAATTAAGGGAGTGTCTCTTAAAATTGATGTGTTCTACTTTAAAAGGTATTATTTGCTGACTGAAAAATCCTAAAAACTCTGAAAGTATTTGACATACAGTGATGGCGTTGTTGGTTTTTTTTCTCACCAAATAATCACCCTGAATCGTTTCCTGCACGACCTCTTAGGCATTGTCAATTTTCATGTCAGTCTTATATGCTAAGAATACTACATAAACTTGCTAAAAGCAGAATTTTAAAAAGGAAACAATAAGACCTAAGAAATGCTTAAAAATTACTTTCTAGCAATTTCAATGGGGAAGGCAGCGTCTTGTGTCTCCTAGGGAGCATGCAGCCACTGATGTGTCCTTTGCCACCATTCGCTTCCATGACCTCCTGTCGCAGCTGGATGATCAGTACAGTCGCTTCTCTTTGGAGAATAACTTTTTGTTGCAGCACAACATAAGGAAGAGCAAGCGCAACCTGCAGGTATGGCCTGGGGTTCGTGTTTGAGCTCATGTTCCCACGCTTGCCCAGCACAGCTTTTAACATCTGGTAAATGGCCTGAGCACGCGCTCCTCAGTGTTAGGGCAGTTCCAGAGCTGTACATGAACCCCCATGTACAATCTGGGCCAGTAAAAAGCCTACTCACTATAAACCCACAGGAACGTTAGGGTTAGGTGTAGCACTGTTAGGTGTCAGTGACAGTGGGAGAAATGTGAAGCCTTGTTTTACTAATATTGTTAATATTTGAACTAAAGAGAAGGGGCTTGGTTTCAGGAGTAGTGAGCTGCAGTGGCACACAGCTTGGCGGACGGACCACCGGGATCAGCCAGGGCTAAGTCCTCGGGCACAGATGAGGAGGTCGGGGAAGTGTGATCTCTCTGAGGCCCCTGGTGAGTTGTGACTCGTACCAGACTCCACCTTGCCTTGCTTCGGGTGGAGTCGCCTCCCCTGGAAGAATGGCGGTAAGGCCAGGCATGGTAGCACACGCCCTGTATTTCCAGCACTCAGGAGGCTGAGGCAGGAGGGTCACTGTGAGTTCTAGGCCAGCCTGGAATCAAAGACTGTCTCCAAAAAAAAAAAAAAAAGTGGAAAATAAAACCAAAGATTGACCCAGACATGAGAAGAAGCTGCAGAGTTTTACGAGTTCATCATATTCCCAGCCTGCCATTAGCCTAATGTCCATATTAATTCTTTATTAGTGAGACTTTTTCTGCTTTAATGGAGGCAAAAACTATCATTTTCTTGTTTTCATACAGCAAAACCAAACCTTTCACTTTAGATAATTGGAAGCTTTTCTTTTTCTTTATGAATGTACCTGCGATGAGTGGGGAAATCAGATGAACTTTACAGAAATTTGCTGTCATTTAGACTTTGCCTGAATGTACCTGTGATAAAGAGCCACGATGACCAGTATTTGGCATATAGGCTGCCTGCGATGGATAGCTTTTGCTTAATTCAAAGCAAAGGTCAAAAGATGCATTAACTGAGGAGCATCACAGATAACTCCTGCATAACTTTGTAGCCTCTGAACCCTAACAGGACTGTCAATACAAAAAAAAGTCTAGGTGAAAATATTACAGGAAGGGCTGGGGGTGTGGCCCGGGTAGAGCACATGCTTGGTTAAACCTCTAGTTTGGAAGAGAATATTTATATGAATGTTCATAAAAGTACTTGGTTTTTAAACCAGGAAGTACTTTAGGTACCTGCCCTGAACTGGTAAGTTAAAACCACTTTTGCCCAGTTTGGGAAAGGAGTATTTTGATTTAACTACAGCAGCTTGTGTGGAGTGTGACAGATGAGAATTGAAGTTTCTCAGGGAATATAAACAAGTCCAGATCTATGTGTAATATGCAGTGGTTTAAACATCCGGAGCTTTAGCTTGTCTTTATTCTAACCACCTGATTATGTTACCATTCTAACCACTCGATTTTATTCTGACCACTAAATTATTCTATCTAGGATAGTTTCCAGGAAGACCCAGTACAGATGTCTATGATCATCTTTAACTGCCTGAAGGAGGAACGGAAAATTTTGGAAAACGCCAGGAGATTTAACCAGGTACTTTTTTCCTAATTGAACACTAAAAGTAAAAATTCATTCCTTCGCTCATTCCACACATACCACCAAGTCCCAGGTCAGAGCAGTGGTGAATGGCCCTCTGATTTTACAGGCACCAGCAGCAGGGAGAGCCAGATTTAGAAATTCTGCAGAACCAGGCTTTGAAAATGATCCTTGTCTAATGTGAGTAGCTTCCAGTGAGGAGTGAAGCAGCATAGGAGCTCCTTGCACGTGGAATGAAGACACCATGCTGGGCTGAAACAGGAATGGAAGCAGGCAGAGGGCGAGAAGGTTTCTGCAGCCATGCAGGGAGTCTGTTCGGGGTCCGTACTCCGTAGAGGGGAAGAAGTAGTAAGTTTTGAGGGAGAAAAAGAGGTTGACAGGCTTTGTAACGGGCAAGTGAAGTGAACAGACACTTCTCAGAAGTATCGCTGGCCATTAGAGAAATGCAAATTAAAACAACACTGAGATTCCATCTGACCCTAGGAAGAATGGCTATCATCAAGAAATCAAATAATAACAAATGCTGGTGAGGCTGCAGGGAAAAGGAACCCTTCTACATGTTGATAGGAATATGAACTAGTACAACCACTATGGAAATCAGGATGGAGATTCTTCAAAAAACTGAAGCTAGAAATTCTATATGACCCGGTTCTTCCCTTTCTAGATATCTTCCCAGAAGACTTAAAGACATCATAGTACAGCAATCCATGTTTATAGCAGCACAATTCATAGTAGCTAAATCTTGGAAGCAGCTTATATGACCATTAACAGATGAATAGATAAACAATATGTGGGATATACATACAGTGGAGTATTGCTCTGCCATAAAGAAAGATAAACTTGAACCATTTGTAGGAAATGGGTGCATCTTGAGACCGTAATGTTAAGTAAAGTATATCAGACACACAAGCTTACATATCACATAGTTTCTCTCACATGAGATGCCCAAAGTATAAAGAACAAAATGAAAGCTAGATAATAGGAAACAGGGAGATGGATCTTTTGCAAAAGAGAAGGGGTTCAAAAGATGGGGGGGAGGGAAGAAGAATGAGGATGTGTCACGTGCATGTATCAGTGCCACACAGGGAGCGTGATCATTGTGCACTGCAAGCGTGTACTAATAAAAACGAAAACAAGAAGAGAACCAAGGGCTTTATTTTGAACAAGATTGAGATCCTTATTAAATATTCAAGATTTCCAAACAGCAAATGAGTCCAAATTGTATGGTACCAAAGGTGCCAAGGTGTTTGGTCATGGTCTTGCTATGCTGCAAGCCTTCCTGATGGGGTTGGGGAGCAGCAGTTTTTTGAAGTTCTGTGGCATTTGCTGTCCCCTTCTTGAGCAATAGTGGTGAGAACAGCCCAGGAGTGGGCGGTTGAGCAACCGCATAGCTTGGGTTTTGACTGAGACCATTCTGACCTGGGCAAGAATCCAGGGCACACAGTAGGAAGTGCACTGGGTGCATTTTATCGACAGACAGCAAAGTCAGTGGGTGCCGATGGGAACCTCAGAGTGTGGGAGGGGCTGGAAGTCAGCAGAAGGCATTGTGGGTCTGCCCTTTCTGCATGGCCAGAGAAGCCCCGTTGATCACTTGGTGCCTTGTGGTGCCTGGGACTGATGATACCAAGCATTTTCACGTATTCTGATCCTGATATGTATAGTTCAGATGCTTTGAGCTTTATACATTTCAGAGTGTATAACATGAAAGAAAACTTTCTATGAATAGACAATACCTGAACCTGGTAGAGATAGAACAAAAAAGAAAGTTATAGACCAAGTTTACTTAGGACTGTCAGTGTAAAAGGCCTGTTAAAATAGCAGGGGTCAGAATTAAATACTACATTAAGGAAATAAGGTGTTAGAGAAAGGTGGGATTTCTTATTGCAGGTTACCAGGGTGGACTGTAACTGGGGAGTCCATTAATACCATCCACTGTCTCGTAGATCCAAGGAGGAAAAGCTTTTGCTTCTTTTCACAGGTACTGAAGGGTCCCATTCCTGATTAACTCAAGAGAAAATATCTCCTGAGATAGGAACGGATGGACACCTCTTACATGTGCTAAAATATACGTCTTAGTTCTAGAAGTGGCGTTTACTCAACTGGGAAAACTCTAGCAGTGGGAAGGAAACACATGGCAAGACTCCACTATTTTCACTGCTAGTGAAGAGCATATTGGTGGTTATTGGTCAGGGCAGTTAGGTAAGAGAAAAGCATTAGAAGCAAAGAATCGAAAATACAAGAGGATAAGCTCTCCCTGAGTTAATTCATAACTGTAATGTGATCCCAATAAAAATGGCCACAAGTTGTCTTCTGGATGTGAATAAGTTGATTCAGAAATTCATGTGGAAAATAAACATACAACAGTAGCAAGCAAACTCCTGAATCCATGGAGCAATGAAATGGGCCTGGCCTTCCGTGGTATACTGTGTATGTTCTATAATAAGCATGGTTCAGAAGTTCAGGTTTATGAACTGGGAGGAAGAAAAAGAAAAATTCTGGAAATAAACCGAGATGCATATGAAAATCTATTGATAAAGGTTGCAGCCCAGAGCACTGGCACTGAATGCAGTTAAAACAGGTGGATAGGCAAGTGGGAGAAGTTAAAATTGGACTTGTACACAGAATAAGCTTCAAGTATTTGAGAGATCTAAAAGTAAAACTGAGGGCTGGGGATTTGGCTCAGTGGTTCCAGTGCCTGCCTTGCAAGTGCAAGGTCCCAAGTTTGATCCCCGGTACCAAAAATAAATAAATAAATAAATAAATGTAAAACTGAAACTCTGGTGTGGCATTGCACAGCAGGGTGACTCTAGATAATAATTATGTGCTGTGTGTCTCCACAGCTGGATGAAAGGGTATTAAATATTTTCACCCTGAAGAAATGATAGAGGACTGAAGTGGTAGACATGTTTGCCCTGAACAGTATACAGTATATACATACATTAAACCATCACACAGTAGCCCATTATTGTGTACAGTTTTTATGTATCTGTTTAAAAAAGATAAAATATTTCTAAATGCAAAAATTAAGTAAAAAATGAAATCTTGCAAGTGCAGGGGAAAAATAGGTAAACTCTCACAATCTTTTAATAGGAAAAGACTTTAAGGTAAAATCTAGGTATTAAGAAAATAAAAGGCTGGTAAGTTTGGATGCATTAAAAACTCCCACGTAGAATCTGAGCTTTGAAGAAAGAAGGAAAGCAACTTTCTTACTTTGAAAGTTACTGTGTGTAGACCTTTCTTAAGGTCTATACACACTTTTTGCTGTGTTGGGGCTTTAACTCTGAGCAAAAAATAATGTCTGTCTAGAGTCTGGTCTCTGTGAAAACAAGGACAGTCATGTTTGCCACTAACACCTGGGCCTGCAATACTGTCTGCCACATCCCTGACTAAATCAGGGTCCCCCAAATGTGATGAGACATGGTCAGGTGTAAGTCTTAGTTCTCATTCCTGGGCAAATGCCTTGACACCTACAACTTAAAGGAGAGATTTATTTTAGCTCACAGTTACAGTCCATGGTCAGCTGGCAGAAGGGCATAAGCAGAAAAGCTGCTCATGTCTTGGTGGCCAAGAAACAGAGAGGGGAGAGAGAGAAATGCTTCTGGGTCACACCCCTAGGGACCCGCCTCTTCCGGCCAGGCCCTGCCTCCCGACAGCGAGCCCAACTGCGCTGCCCCCATGATTTAGTCACCTTCCAGAGACCCTGCCTGTGAGTTCATGAGGCCTTGCGGGGGACAGTCTCAGTCCAAAGCACAACATAACAGTTACTATGCATCATCTCGTGTACAGTTTGAGAAACTCTGACACAGTGCCTATGTGGTACCATTCAGCTGTATGAATTCATGGAAAGTGCTCGAAATACTGTTTATTTCAGAAATGAACTGAGGTAAGACTCTGTAGCCTTCTTACCAGTTTGCCAGCATTTTTTTAGGGCTTCAGGAACTGAGCTTTTTAAAGTTGAAATATATGTGGGAAGCCTGTAGTAAATTTTGGAAAGTCTCAGAGGCAGAGAGGGCATGAGGTACCTACCAACGACTTTGGAGTGTGGGAGAAAATGATGGCTGCTAACCAACCACGCACTTCCTATTACAGGCCCAGTCGGGGAATATTCAGAGCACTGTGATGTTAGACAAACACAAAGAGCTTGACTGCAAAGTCAGAAATGTGAAGGACCAAGTCATGGTGAGCATTGAGTAAATACATGCATTTATTCTGTAATTTCGATAATGGAAACAAAGTTTCTATATTAGTCATTTTTCCATGGCTGGGACACAATACCTGACACCCACAACTGAAAGGAGGAGAGGTTTATTTGGCTCATGGTTTCAGAGAATTGAGTCCATGGTTCATTGGCTCCAAGGAAGAAACAGTATGGCAGAGGGGCAGGGCAGAGGAAAGCAGCTCGCACCATGATGGGCAGGAAGCAGAGAGAGAAAGGGGAGCAGAGGATGAGATTGCAGCCTTCCAGGTCACACCTCCAGTGTCCCTCCTCCAACCGGCCTATGTCTTAACAGCACATCTAGCTACTGAGCTCATCAATGGATGAATCCACTGAAGACTACAGCACCTCCATGAGTCCCCTTCCACACACATGAGACTTTGGAGGGATTTTAAATCTAAACCTCAACAGTTTCAGTTACCCGGAACATAAACCTAGTAACTAGTTTTTCAAGTCATTGAAAAGAAAATTTATGCTAAAGTTTCAAACCAGAAGTAAATAGATTAGTAAAACCAGTGATCAACTAGACTTTTTATGACCCCTATTGTAACTTCCAGACGCTGAGGTTATCTTTTTCTTCCTTCCAAGATCACACAGTAAATTGCTGACTTTGCCTCCATTGTCCAATAGATGAGATGTGCTTCTCTAAGTGGCCCTTTAATTCCGCAACCCTTAAATCAGGGTGTTCCTGGGGCCAAGCAGAGCTCCAGGATAAACATGGCCCATCTGCCTCAAGTACCTGTTTTAATCTTAGACTTGCAGGAGGAACAAAAAACAGGAATTCAGATACATTTCTGATCAGAATAAGATGTCCACAGCAGTTTTAAGCTAAAACTTCCAAGGCAGGTTGTAGAAGCACTGGGCTACTGCAGCCCCTTGTTGGGATAGCCCGCCATATGCCTGAACATATGGCAGCATGGCCTGGACTCTTGCTCCTGACAGCATCTTTTCAAACCCAGATTCATCAGAGCAACTGTATCCTGAAGCCTCCTAGAACATGCCACTAAAGTAGCATCAAGTGAGCTAGGTCTGGAATTAGCCAGAGAAATCCAGAGAATAATGTGTAGAAATGTGATGAAATCTGAAACAAATGAGGTTCATTTGTGGGGTGAACATAGAGTTGGTTGTCTAGACTGAACTTTCTCTGGGTGTGGCAGGGAACTTACTAATTACACCAAGACAGTGGACGTTCAAGCAGGACTGTTCCATAGACGGGGTGTGTGGTCACCCTCCCTCCTTGGAAGGATTGAGGACATTGGCCATGAGCTGCCTGTTCCCTGCTGTACGCATCACACTGAAGTTGTTAAATCCTGAGGGAGTCCCATAAATGATTAGGAACTGTCAGAATTTAGGCCCCAAACCAAGTGGTGACAGTTTGAGGATTGTTACATGTTCTCGTTTCTTGGAAAATGTGACTACACACTTGCTAAAGGGATAGATACTACTCTGTGTATGTATTAGAGTTTTATAAGTCCCATAAGTCTCTGAGGGAGCTGAAATTGTTACCATGTTTTCCTGGGTTCTGTGGAAGCAGCAATCTTTTTCTTGAAGTCTTTAGAAGCTGATGATCAGTGAAAAACATGTTTGTCTTTATTTGTAGAGTATAGAGCAGGAGATCAAAACCCTAGAAGATTTACAAGATGAATATGATTTTAAATGCAAAACCTCGCAGAACAGAGGTAAGAGTTAATAAAGCAGTTTTATGTACACCAGATATCAAAGGCGGTCTTTCCGTATTTGCCAAGTATTTTATGATTGATTCGCCAGTCCGGACTTCCTGATGATCCAGTCCACACGTCCTTGGGCTTGCTTCTGTTAACATTTTGAGCCAGATCATCTGTCTCAGGACTGTCTTGCGCCTTGCAGAATGTTTAGCAGCATCCCTGACTTCTCCCTAGTGGTGCTGGGTGCCAGGAGCATTGTCCTCTCAACTCCGCAGTGACAACCTGAATATCACCGGACAGTGCCCGATGTCCTGGGGGGAGGGCTGGCTCACCCCGGGTTGTCCCATACTTATGGTGCCTCAGCCAGCCCTTGATCTGGACCGGCGCAGATGTGGTGTTTCCCTGCCCTGTCACCCGACATGCCTCACCCCCAAGTCCATGTGTCTGTATCACCTGGGCACTTTTTTCGCGTCTGAAAGCAGTTTCACTCTGTGTCAGTGTTGCTGCTTGTTTTCAGTGATAGTAACTGCAGAATGCACACTGTACAGCAAGTGCATGTAGGGGACTGCTTTTCGCCTAGTAATTGGTTGATAGATGGGGATTATCAGTATGATTTGGGTAAAAGGTATGAGAGAAAAGAACCTCAGTTACTGCCTGCTAATTGTCCACTCCTCTTTCCAAGCTGTGAAGTTTTGAATTTTGTCATTTGTGTTCATTTAGGTAAAAGTCTGGCAGCAATTTAAATAGTAAACAGTACTATTTGCAATTTCCATGGGTCACTGAAAACTAGTACTTGGTTTCAGTGTGTCCAGTTTTTATAGTTAGGACATTTTTTCTTGATTGTTCAATAAAGATTAAAGAACAGACTGCATCTGTATCATCTCTCCACTAAATTCATGTGAATCTTGGTTTTCATTGGTTTATCTTCTTACGTGTTTTTATTTTAATGCTCTCAATTCACAGAACATGAAACCAATGGTGTGGCAAAGAATGACCAGAAACAAGAACAGCTGTTACTCCATCAGATGTATTTAATGCTTGACAATAAGAGAAAGGTAGTGCTTACTTTCCAGAAGAGCATGTTGCTTTTGATGCAGTGATAGACTTGAAGTTTAGAACAGAGGAAAAATTTTTATACCCACTTGGCTTAATGTCCTAGTTGAGAGTGAAAGGATATTTGCTTTGCTTGAAAAAAAAAGACTTTAAAAATTCAACGATTAAAAACAAACTTATTTCACCTCACTTCCTCTTCTCTCTTTAGGAAATAATTCACAAAATCAGAGAGCTGTTGAATGCCACAGAGCTGACCCAGAACACCCTCATCAATGACGAGCTGGTGGAGTGGAAGCGGCGGCAGCAGAGTGCCTGCATCGGGGGGCCGCCCAACGCCTGCCTGGACCAGCTGCAGGGCTGGTAAGATGAGGCCTGGAGCCACCCAGGCACAGCTGGCCCTGCCAGAGCTTCTGGCTGGAGCTTGGTGCAGAGCGGCTTCTTCCGGGCCTGGAAACACTAGGAGAGCACAGTGTTGTTCATGACCGTGGCCACATCCAGCCCGGTCTCTTAGTTTGGAGGCTGCTAAGACCTGGCGATGCATCGCTGGACTGTCCCCAACCCCAGTGGGGTGGGCGCGAGGCAGCGCACTTCACACCTCGAGTCCTGGAGGCTGATTAAGAACACCACATCTGACGCCTTGTCTGGTCTCCCAGGAAGCATGGGTTTGATGCGGCAACCATTTGGTCACCGCCCAGAGCACTTGAGAGAAGCTGCGCCCTCAGTGTGGAGGAGGGTTGATTCTTGTCCTTGCCTGGCGGGATTCTCAGTGTGGGGGACAGACGGACAGACCGACAGACATGGGAATAGTGCATGGCTTCTGTGGGGGGCGGGGGAGCCACCCGCCCCGCCCGCCCGATGGTGATGGGCGCTGCCTGAGCTGGGATGGCGCTGTCCAGCAGAGCAGCCCGGTAACTGCGAGGGCTGCTGGAGCGGCAGGCGGTGCTGACCAAGGGCGCGGTTCCCTGGTGTGTGCTTAGAAAGCTGCTCTGGCACAGACTGGGGGCAGGAGCAGAGGTACGGTCCCAGGACCTTGTGGCTGTCCGCGGAGCCAGGAGAGGCTGCATGGGCACGGAGAGTGTGGCCTTGAGGCGGCACTGACGGACGGAGGCCTGACACAGTCGTCCAGTGCCCCAGGACTGCGGCCCTGGTGGGGGCCTACTCGTGAGACTGCGCTGTTAATTTTTAAAAATCCCAGCTCAGCCATTTGTTTTCATTCTGTGAGTTGCCCGTGTGCACCCGTCTCATGGTTAGACAGTTCCCAGGCTGTTTGCTCTTACGCCCTGAGAGACACTGACTCCTGAGACCTCCCCAGACCCCTGCTCCTGCCTCAGCCCTCCAAGTGGCTGGAGCCCCGAGTGATCACTGTGGGCCACAGGCTCCCCTGGCAGGGACAGCTCCCTCTGGCGTCCCCCCTGCGCCGTGTGAGGACCGATTCCTTGCGTGCCAGGGCTCCTGGGCAGGATGCTTCTCCTGGGCACCCCTGCTTCTCGCTCTGGGGTGAGGGGCTCTCAGTGTGGGCTGGGCCAGGGAGCGAAGCTGCCTAGTGAAGCAGATGGGCTCCAGTAGGAGAAGACGCGTTTCCGCACTTCCTGTGTCGTCCTCCTGGCAGTGGAGGGGCCCCTCGCTGTTAGCACCTCTCAGGAAAGAAGAGCCGAGATGGTCTCTGAGCTTCCTCATCAGACTGTGCTTCTCCAGGCCTTGGGAAGCTGCAGTCTGCATTCTCCCCTCTCCCCTCCCTGCATGGCCCCATGGCTGGTGCTCAGGTCCCTGCCTTAGTGTGAAACATCAGCGGCTCCTCACAGCCTCTTGGGTCACCCAAGGCATCTGCTGCTATTTCCCCTGCCCCTCTCTGCCCCCTTGTTCTCCCCTTTTGAAATCCCAAAGACCTTAGAGGTCTGTTGAGCCTAGCATGGTGGCACATCCCTGTAATCCCAGCTCCTTGGAGGCTGAGGCAGGAGGATCATTGTTGCAGTTCCCGACTGTGGCTAGGCACAGAAAGATGAAAGATTATTCAAGGATCACTTGGAGTCAGTGTCCAGTCTGTACTCCAAGAGGGCCCAGAGGGGCTGCCGTTAACCAGACCCCTTGGTGGGAGAAAGTCTCAAATGATAGCCCTGAACTCTGTGTAAACCTCTGGCCAACGCCCCCACAGATCACAAGTTCGAGGCCAGGCCGGGCAGCTGAGCGAGACCCTGTCTCAAAATAACAAATTAAAGATAAATAAAGAGGGCTGGGATATAGCTAGGTGTTGGAGGGACCCTGGGTCCAAGCTCAGGAGGGTCGGTCCCTCGATCTCAGGGGCCCGCAAGGCTTTTGATCTGGGCTGTGATCTTTCGGTGCATGTTGGTTTTTTCTATCTGAATAACTGAGCTCCTTAAACCACAAGCCTGGTTCCTGCCGGTCCTCACAGGCGGGAGTGCCCAGCACAGGGAGCGCGTGTCGCCCGCCCTCCCCAGGTTCCTGGCAGGGAGCACGCTGGTTTCCGTGCCTCCTCAGCCCCGCCGCCTAGGGCTGTTGCTCACCTAGACTCCCGTGTCTCGCACCCAGGTTCACCGTGGTGGCCGAGAGTCTGCAGCAGGTGCGGCAGCAGCTCAAGAAGCTGGAGGAGCTGGAGCAGAAGTTCACCTACGAGCAGGACCCGATCACCAAGAACAAGCAGGGTCTGTGGGACCGCACCTTTGCCCTCTTCCAGCAGCTCATCCAGAGGTAAGGCCGCCGATTTGTGTGCGTCTGTCCTCGGAGGAGTGCTCTCCAGCTGCCCAGATTTCCGAGGGGTTTAGTGGCGGTTGGTGCCTTCTGAATTCCTCCTCTGTCTCAGAGGCCCCCACTCATTCCACCCCAGCCTGGAGCCAAAGTAACTTCTTCTGCCTTCTTCCCCTCACCCAGGCTGTGCTGTGCATCTCAAGCCCTCTCTTCTGAACTCCTAGCAGGGCACCTCGCAGCCTGGCTCCCCATCCCCTGACACCCAGGGGTGCCCTCACCTGGACGTGGCTGCCCACCAAGCCCAGCATCACATGCGCACACACACGGTTTCCAGGCTCACCGGGCCTCCTGTGTCTCTCAGGTCCTGGCTGCAGGGACGCCCTGTGCCTCCCCTGTGCGCATCTCCCTCCCACCTTGCGGCCACTTAGCACCCCTCTGCCCAGACAGTGGCGTCCTGGAAGTTTCAGCCTCACTGTCATCCTGAACTCTTCCCTGAGTTCCCAGACAAACGTTCTCTGTCTTCCAGACCTCCGAAGCTCGTGGTCCTCCCCGAGCCTGCCTTGTGCTGTCAGTGGTCCCGTGCTTCTGTTACCTCGGTGGTCCTCCCCCACGCAGGGCCTAGCACTGCACCTTGTGAACAGCAGGCAGGTGTCCCAGGCGTAATTAGGAGACAGACATAGTTAAGTGGAAGAGCAGAGTTCATATCACAGGGGTGTTTGTTTTTGTATCTTGACACTAACAAGTCATACAGAAAATGTCTTGTTTCCCTATGGCTAACTTCCAAACAAAAATGCGTATATGCTGGATTTTAAAATAATTAAGGAGACTTGTTTGTTTTTTGTGTGCAAATCTGACCGTTGGTGCAGATTTACAGAAGAACGTAATTGAATTCAGGTGTTTGCTGTTGGACAGTGTCATGGGTCGTTACAGTCACTGGGTGTGCTGTGTGTAAGTTAGATGTGGGGCTGTCTTACTGGCTGGTGAATGCAGCTTTGTTCATCCAGTTTGTTAGGCTTTTTTGAACTGTTTTTCAGGCTAGGCTCTCTAACTCCATTTCCTTTTTAGTCGTTTAGTTTTTACTGCCTCAGCCTTGACAGAAATGCTAATTTGTCTGCATTTGCTGGGTATTTGCAGCTCCTTTGTGGTGGAAAGACAGCCATGCATGCCAACGCATCCACAGAGGCCTCTGGTCTTGAAGACTGGAGTACAGTTCACTGTAAAGTTGAGGTAATAAAGAAAAAATGCAGCTATGTACACTGCCCATAGCATAATTTGTCTCTGTTATCTCCTAATACAAAGCTATTACAGTGGACCCTCGCTCAAGTTATGACCAGCCTGACATACAAACAACTTGGGTTAGGATCAGAATTTTAGTTTTAACTTATGACCAAAGTCTTGAATTATGACCTGAATGCCAGCCACTTGTGCTTCCAGATGGTCTCGGGTATAGATTTAACCCTTAAAGAGTCCTGGAAGGAACATGACAGCATCCTTTCCTGTGTAGGGTTAACGGAGAAATCCTGGGCCAGTGTCTCTCTAAGGACACTGAGATCTGCCTGTGTACAGGAGAGAGACTGTGAAGACTGTAGAGGAGCCTGAGCCTTCAGTTGACCAGCCTGAGTTACAACCAGCCCTGGGGAACAAATTAAGCTCATAAATCAAGGGTCCACTGGATATAGGGGTTTAAGAGGAAATAGTTTTCAGTAGGCATTGTATTATGAATTCTTAGACTATCCAGGCTGCTGTCTTTTATCGTCAGGATAGAAGTACAGCCAATATAAATGCAAATACACGCATCTGTTTTTCCTCTGACTGCATGTAACGCATGTGCATAGTGAAAAGGAGTTCACAATTGCACACGAATGTGATAGAGCATGGCAGTTCCAGCAGCCTCCCTGCTCCTGAGAGTAGGCCCATAACAAGAGCTTCCAGACTCCCTGAAAAGGGAACAACTCTTGAAGTAGATTATACCTGTGGGTTTTTCTGGTGAGTGAATTCCTAGCTTTCGTGAGATTCCCACGGTGGTCTGTGATCCAAACGTCAGTGGACCAACACCACAAATGCCCGGTGTTTGCCTTGCATAGTGTTGTCCGTGTCCACACAAATGCGCAAAGCCGAATGGGTGTGTATGCATTCCTTACACAGACACACATGTAAAACATGTGATGTGCATTATTTCAGTTTTGAAGATGAGAACCATACATGAACATTGTTTTGTAGCTGGCTTTTCTCCTTGGCAGTAGTGGGCGAAGTGTTTCCAGATGAGAACATCTGGCCTTGCTCTGTCCTCATGCATGGCCCATCATTCATCTGCTCCTCTGGAGATGAGCACTGCACCCCCAGAGGGGGCCATACCCTCAGGATTAGCCACACCCTTTCTCGAGGGGTGCTGCACTCCCTCCCTACTGGGCCATGAGCAGTGCTACAGGCTAGCGTCCACGGAATCCAGAACTCAGCACTGCAGGAAGAGTAGAGATGGAATCCATTGCTGACCCAGGACCCGGCTCCTCCCACCCTCCAGCTCATAGAGGAGGGACCCAGAATCCTAGGAGCCCAGCGCTCCAGGCTCCGTCCTTCCACACTGCCCTGATGTACAGGAGGGCAAGCTTCCTTTTTCCGATTGTGGGTGATGGTTTTTCTTTTCTCCCACTAGGACAGAAAAGTAGTTCTAAGTTCTACAACAAGTAATGTTCACTGCTTTCCGCCCATCTGAGGCCAGAAGTAGAACAGTTGGCGAAACTTTGTGTTGGGGAGGTTATGTAGGACATAGCCACCTTTGCCGACCCTGGTAAGAACAAGAAGTCAGTGCTGGGTTCCCCCAGAACTTCATGCTGCGGTTCTGCGCCGGCAGTTTCACAGCTAGGAACTGAAGCTGCAGGTGCATGTGCTGAGAAAAGCCAGGCAGACATACAGCATGTCAGTTTCATTGTTTGTAAGAACCAGCAACTAGAGGGGTGACGGTTTCCATACATGTTCATAGATGGACACTTGGCATAGTAAATAGATTGTCGTAGATCGTTTTCTAAAGTAATGACTTTTTTTTTTCTCTCCAGACTGTTGGTGAAATTGCAAGAGCTGAATTATAACTTGAAAGTGAAAGTCTTATTTGATAAGTAAGATATTTTTAATATTATCTAAGATAATATACCATTGAAATGCTAGTTTTGTTAACCAAATGTGGACTGCCCCCGTTGAATGTGTTGATTCCCGGTTGCCTGGCAGCACTGGGCCCTGGGTGGGAGGAAGTGGCCTTCCTGAGCACGAGGGCTGAGCCCGGCTGCTACTCAGGTCCACCTGGGCCGACACACGTGGCCCAGCAGATAGAAGTCGATGGGTGCCACACTGCATGTTGGCTGCGTCCCCTAGGCCTGTGCCTTAGATGAAAATGAAGAAAAGAAGGCGCATAGGAGATCACAGCTGGACTTGGCACGTGTAGGCCAGCTCCTGAGGGCAGCCCTGGCCAAGCCCAGCTGGGGCTCAGCCTGCATGGCTCCGTGGCCGGCTGCGAGGCGGTTTCTGGAGTGAGCTCAGAGGCACTGGTGTGGGGCTGTCACCCCACCTCTCCTGGGCAGGGGGCCCATTTGCCATACCGTGCGTCAGCTCAGGCCCTGTTTTGGTTTGTTTGTGCTCCTTTGTCTTTTCAGTGTCTGCCAGCTCTGGTCTTTCTTCTGCCACACTCTTCCTTGTACTGTAAATTCTTTTTTTTCAAGTGGGAAAATAGATCCCTTTTATGGCAATTGTTCTTCACAAAACACTGCCCTTCGAGTTGAGATAGGAAAGGAGGATCGCTTCCTCCTGGGCATAGTTATCTCTAAGCCGTATCTAGGCTGTAACATGACTGTCGTAGTGTATCTGGTATTGCTGTAACGAAATACTTGAAACTAAGCACTTTATGAAGAACAGGACTTAGCCCATAGCCTGGTGCTGGGAAGGTCAGGATTGGGAGGCAGCATCTGTGCAGCATCATGTCCTGTAGGGGCGTCCTGTGGGCTGACTGTGGGGATCACACACAGGAGTGGCAGGAGCCAGCTGGGAAGGCCGGACTGGCTTCACTGCAGCCTGCCCCTGGGGCAGCCAGTGCAGCCCTGCCAGACCTAACCCACGTGCCTGTCACCTCAGCATGGCCGCCCAGGACCAGGGCACTGGGCCTCTGGCGCGTGACCTCTAGGGGACAGGCTGAGGCCAGAGCACAGCAGTCGCTGGGTCTGTGCAGAGCCAGCCTTCCGCCATCGCAGCCTCGGACGTCGTGTTGCCCGCTCCCCGAATGACCTGGCTCCTCCAGAGCTGTCTCGGGGACACTGTGGTGACGGAGAGTGAAGGTGAGGGAGGGTCCCGGTGGAGGGTGCTCCGGCTTCTGTGGAGGCACAGCGTGCTGAGCACGGGCCCTCGCACAAAGCCAGGCCTTCACACAGCTCACACCTCACGGGGCCCTGGAAGGAAGCTTGGCCCAGGGTGAGAAACTGACCCAGGCGGTTTGTTTAGTGACACATGGCGTGTTGCGTGTGGGAGGCAGGAAGGGAGGGAGTGGATGAAAGGTCAGCAGAGCAGCGCTGTAGACTTTATTTCTCCCTTGCTTACTTACATGCGTCTCATGTTTCTGTTAAAGCTAATTGCAAAGTTCAAATCCATCCTCTTGTTTTTGCAGGGATGTGAACGAGAGAAACACAGTAAAGGGGTAGGTGTTGCACTCTGCACTGTGGTGTTTTGCTACCTTGCTGTCTGAGTTTGAAGCCAATTAAGCATTTGTGTCTGATTGTGCAGGTTCCGGAAGTTCAACATCCTGGGCACACACACCAAAGTCATGAACATGGAGGAGTCCACCAACGGCAGCCTGGCGGCCGAGTTCCGGCACTTGGTAGGAGGCCAGTCCTCCCAGCGCTGTCTCTGGTCTGTGGGACTCGCAATGCTGGGCAGTGCTTGGCCAGGCGGAAGATGCCCCTTGACGTTCTTGGCTGGCTGGTGACCACTCATCACTGCACTGGAGCATCCTGCTTCCGCTGCGTCATCCCAGCGCTGTCCAGTGCTCTGCCAGCGATACCTCTGCATGGCTGCAGGGATCTCAGTAAAAATACTTCCTGAACCTGCATGTGCATAAGCTGTCTGCACGCGCCACTCCACAGTGGGACTACCACGTGGAGCCCAGGGTTCACTCGAGGCTGCTGCTCCCACCCTCCCTCCTGCTCCTTCTCCCAAACCCTTCCGGGCAGCAGCAGCCTGACCCTCCCACTGTCTGCCTCCCAGTTGGATTTTCGGGCTGCGTTAAGTGGCAGTTGCCTCTTTCTGCTTCCATGGAGTGGGGCTGCCGGGTGTCGCTGCTGAGCCTGAAGTGAGGTCGCGTGTACCATTTCTTCTAGTGACTGGCTTGCCAGCCAGCGCACCTTGTCGCTGGGTTCAGCTCAGGCCTGAGGGTGGCCCTAGGTGCCCGCAGGCCCCACAAAGTCCCCTGGAGGGTGCTCCTGCTTGGGCCTGGAGTCGCCTGATACACACTATCTGGGACCCCCAGGCCCTGTACTGCCCGCCCCATCCGTCTGGCTGCAGCGAGAGGCACTCAGTTCGGAGATCCACAGGGGGCCATTCTGCCTCTTGCCCACCCTGGAGGTCTTGTCCTCTCTTCCTAGTCCCAAGGGTGGTCAGTGGTCAGTTACAAGAGTGAGTCCGAGCTGACAGCTGGCATGCAATTTACTGAGAGGGTTTCTTGTTTTTCAGCAACTGAAAGAACAGAAGAACGCTGGCAACAGAACCAACGAGGTGAGGGCCCCTCGGTTGCATGAGCTCCAGGCAGGCAGGTCTCCCCGGGAGGGTTTGGGCCCGGGGGAGGGGCTGGGGTCTGTGGTAATGGTAAAAACCTCTGCTGCCTGCTTTCCCGCTGTCAGGCAGCCCAGAGGAGGCGCTGGTGGGTGGGGGAATTAGAGTCCCAGGAAGTGTGCAGGACTTAGCTGGGCGCAGTCACTGTCCAGTGGGACAGAGCCCGTCCGTGACTGCACGCTGAGGACAGGGTGGCCCAGGGCGCACTGCTGCCTGGTGGCATTGTCTTTTCAGTTTCCTTCTCACAGCCTGACCCTTGAGGAGTCGTTGTGATGCATTTAACAATGAACCCTGGGCAAAGGACAGGGCTAGAGTTTGGGTTTGGATGGGCTCTTTCCTCCACACACAGCATGCTGTCCTTCCCACCATGACCAGTGGAGGTCGCTGGGACAACGAGACAGACTCGCTGGTGTCCCATAGCCCTGGTTTGCACTGTAACTGCTGTGTGACCTCATGGTCTAGCCTGGTCCTAACCTGCCTAGTTCTAAGTCAGTTGTGATGCTTAGGGGAACTGGTTTGTATAAAGGGACTTTGAAAACCACCCTTTTCTACCCAAAGGGCAGCACTTCTGACCCGTCAGGAGTTGGGAGTCAGCACTCCCTGTAGATAATCACACCTGAAACACATCCACACCAGGAAGCCTTAGGTTGTGTGCAAATCTAATGGAAGTTGCTGCTCCCCGACTTGCATTTCTTTCTCTGAATCGCTAACCTTTGCCATAACTGCAGACCTTTTATCTCAGAACACTGAGAAGCTTGGAATAATTAAATCTGGGATCAACTCTTAAATATTGGAGTTTTCAAGCTGTAGCTGTGTGGTCCAGGATCTCTGCCATTTGTTTATTTCGCTTTTGAAAGTTGTAGGATCAGTGAATGAATTCTTATATCCTTTTCTTCTTCTCTTTTCTCTGTAAGGGTCCTCTGGTTGTTACTGAAGAACTTCACTCCCTTAGCTTCGAAACCCAGTTGTGCCAGCCTGGCTTGGTCATTGACCTCGAGGTAAGACTTCTCGGGTCCCCAGGAGATGACTGTCTATGTTTGCATCTCACTAGTACATGTATTCCAGTTTTTCAGTTTTTGTTTAGAGTTACTTTTTCAAGTATAAACTGCGCAGAATTACAGTTCATCCTCTGTTAACCTTAGAGTACACAGTTCTTGCGTTGAGATGATCTCAGGCCTTTGTCACTTTGCAGACGACCTCGCTGCCTGTGGTGGTGATCTCCAACGTCAGCCAGCTGCCCAGCGGCTGGGCCTCCATCCTGTGGTACAACATGCTGGTGGCGGAACCCAGGGTATGGAAATGCGTGTGCTCTCATACGGGGTGGGGGGTGGGGTAGTTCACCAGGGACCCCTGTTCTAGCTGCTGCGTCTCCAGAACAGCCCGTAGAGGCCAGATGTGGAGAGGGAAGTGACAGACTCTTGTGGGGTTGGAGTGACCCTCCGAAAGTGCAGCGTGTGTATGTGTGTGTGCGCGCGCACGAGCCAGAGGTGAGGAGAACGATTCTGCCTCCGAGTGGCTAGGTGCAGCCAACTCTCATTGTGGAGGAGGCCTCTGCTGTCACCGGCTTGCACCATGCACATCTAAGAGGCACTCTTGGAGCATGGCTGCTCCCTGCTTGTTCTGCCGAGCAATCCTGTCCTCAGCATCATTGGCAGGAGCTCCGAGTGATTTCTTGCAGGGGAAGTGCAGGGTTAGGGTCCCGGGCAGCTCTGGTCACGTCTTTGCCCACCCATCGCACATATCTGTGTGCATGTTTCTAATGTATATGGTGTTTGTTCACTTTGACCCGGTGGCCAACAGCACTGCAGTTCAGGCCCACATGCAGCGCAGCTAGCATGCATCCTTTCTGCGTGACATGTCCCAGCTTTGTTGTGCACAGAACGTCACACTGCACTTTAGCTGTGCTGGGTCCCACTTTACACAGTGAAATCACCAAGAGAAAGCACAAGACAAAATCGTCACTCTGAATAAGTGCACAAAGTGCACTCGTTTGCAGCCCGGGTGCTGAAACTAGAGCCTGGCGGGCCCGGAGTTTTTCCATTTCGGTTAGAGGTGGAGGTGTTGCGGGGCTCCATTTGCTCGGCCCCTCTGTGATATCACAGCATCAGTAACCACAGAGGTGCCGGGCTGTCAGCTTTGGAGTGATAAGCAAACCTGAACAGATTGGCAGATGCAAGCCTGTCACAATGAGAGCGCTCTTCTCCATGGAGATCATGTGTGTCGCACCTGGACCTGAGCTTGCAGGTGGGTGTAGGGCGGGGCGATGGCCCCTGGTGATGGCTCGGCTCCCTGTTCTCTCCCTAGAACCTGTCTTTCTTCCTGAACCCACCCTGTGCACGGTGGTCACAGCTCTGCGAGGTGCTGAGTTGGCAGTTTTCATCCGTCACCAAGAGGGGCCTGAGCGGGGACCAGCTGAACATGCTGGGAGAGAAGCTTCTTGGTATGCACGCTTAACTTCATGGCCTGCACAAATCGAAGCCCAGAACAACCTCTCTGCTTGCTTTCTCACCCGTTTATTCTCTGTTTCGGGGAGGGTGGAGGAGTTCCAAAATCCAGCTGCTGCTTCTCACAGCTAAATGGGAATCAGATCTCACCTCGGAAAGAACGAGACCTGAGGAAAGGCTTCCCTGACCTGTTCCTCAGTGTCTCCTGCCAAGGCTTCTGAGAAGGGGCCCTGAGGGAAAGTTTCTTGGATTTTGTAGAACACATTTTCCTGTGGAGGAAACGAGTTCTTCATGAGAAAGGTGCGGCCTTAATACGCTTAGGGAGAGAGGGTTAGGGTCCTGATGTGTCTCTCAGACCCTGGCTTTGGGTCAGGTCGTCCTGTCAGTGACCAGCACCCATGCTTTGTTAGTCTTACACCCAAGAAGACCCAGGACTCCCGCCTCTCAGAGCCGGGTCTCTGTGGGAATGGGTGAATCGGAGTCATTCCTGCAAACTTCACAGGCGGCCCTTGTGCAGGTCTGTGCGCACCTGCCCCTTCCTGGGCCGTCCTCCATGGCGGGCTCTTGCACTGTGTAATACAACGCCCACACCCTGAAGTCAGAGAGGACCTCCTTGGCCTGTTGTGGCTATCTGAGGTTCTCTCGGGAGGGCTACAGGCCTTACCCCTTAGGCCTAGCTGTGCCAGGGCCCTCCTGGTGAGGGTGGCGGTGGCCTCCGGTGCCCTCAGCCCGTTGGGAGGCCTTCGGGATGTATGTCATGAACGGCTGAGGTGTGCCCGTGGTCAGGTGTCCCTCGGGTGCCCACCCACGTGTGGTCTTGATCTGAGTTTGAACTTCAGGCAAAATGCGTGCGGGGCCTTTGGAAGAAGGACTCCACCTGTAGTGGTGGTGGGAGGGGTGTGGGTGCGGGTGCTGGGCAGGGCCCCCAGTGCAGCTTCTGCAGAGCCCACCGGGAGGGTGATGTTCAGCCCAAGGCAGTGGCAGTGGGCAGGTGAGGGTAATGCGAGGACTGAAGAGACCTCTCTTTCTTGAGGAGAGGGAGGGACAGGAACAGATGGTGCAGCTCCGAGGCGCTCCTGCTTTCCCTCAACACCGCTTAGGATCCCGGTGCCCGGGGTCCACTGTCCATTCCTTCGGGCCATGAAAATAAAGTCAGCGCACACACCTTGCAGACTATTTCAGTCACATCCTTCTGTAGCGTATTCGATCCCTGCTAAATCACCAGCATACACAGGGTCTTCCTCCCGCGGATGGGAGGCCTTTTCTTTGAGAGCGAGCACAAGAGCCGCCAGTGCCCTAAGCATCAGAGCAACTGCTGACAGCTGACAAAGCGTCTGTGTCTGCCTAGGTCCTAATGCTGCCCCGGATGGTCTCATCCCCTGGACTAGGTTTTGTAAGGTGGGTCCCGCCGGGTGTGGGAGGCTGACTGCTTCTTGCTCTGTCGCCTTGCTCCCTCATTCTCTGCTGCTGCAGGGAGCTGCTTGCTTGTTTTGGCGTGTCTCTGTCTCGCCCATGGAGCCCTGGGGCAGGCTGTTTTCTTTCCTTCACACAGAAGCTGGGTCTCCAGGCCGGAGGCTGACAGGAAGCACCTGCTGGGAGATAACATTCTTTCCCTTCCCCAGCCCTTTGCCCAGCAGTGTCTGGCCCCGTCGTGTGAACCTCGAGCTCTGTCCCCCTGCGGCGTCCCTGGCCGCTGCTCCTGTTTGCAGAGGAAAGCAGGGCCCAGCTGCGGGGCTGGGTGGGAGGCCCTGGCCAGTCTGCTGCTCTGCGCTGGGGACTCTGTGACTGCGGGGCGCTTTGCGAGTGGAGTCCAGTGAGGGGAGGAGAGGCAGGAGAAGTCACTGCTCTGATGATGCATCTGTGTGTTTTTAGGAAAACATCAATGATAAAAACTTTTCCTTCTGGCTTTGGATCGAAAGCATCCTAGAACTCATTAAAAAACACCTGCTGTCTCTCTGGAACGACGGGTAAGAGCAAGAGCCACTGATGGCTGTATTTCTGAAAACATTTTTGGTGCCTCCTCCCTTGTCGAAAAGCCCAGACGAAGCCTGAGTGGGTATCATTGTTTGGCGGTTTGTGTCCCTTCCCAGAGATGCACACAGCCAGGCAGTCAAGGTTCTGTGGCAAAGGAACCGCATCAGGTTAAACTTACACTTTCTTGTCTATGTGTGCAAATATTTATAAAGCGAAACGTAAAAAGTTCTGGGTGCCACTCATGCATTCATTCATTCAACAGAAATTTCTTGAGCATCTATTACATTGCCCCTAGAAAAAAAACAAAAGCTCTTTCAGCTTGGTACACTGTGCCTAGGTCATTTTCCAGATCAACTGATAGTTCAACAAAGGCTGTAAGTTGACCAGAAGGGCTGGAATATGAAAACGCATTGTCTCTGTCTTTGGATTCAGTATTAGAAATGCACAAATTCAACCATTTTCATGGCCTGTAAAGTCACTGGGTGACAGCACAGGGTTCGAGAATGCTCCCGTATTTCCTGAGTGTGCCATCCTGCGGACCCCGTGCTCCTCGTGGTTGTTTTGTTTTGTGTTTTATTTGGCACATACATGTGTAAGTGGAAGTCTTTTGTAAGTGCCAGTTAAATATATTGTAAAATCGTCCGTATGTCCTCATCCTGTGTTCTGTGCTCAGTCCCCTGGTTCATACAAGAACATGAAAACTGAAAATCTGCGTCTGAACCCGGGCAGGTGCATCATGGGCTTCATCAGCAAGGAGCGGGAACGCGTGCTGCTCAAGGACCAGCAGCCCGGGACCTTCCTGCTGCGGTTCAGCGAGAGCTCCCGAGAGGGCGCCATCACCTTCACCTGGATGGAGCGCTCGCAGAACGGAGGTGGTGAGTGGCGGCCCTCCCACCTGGCAGCTTTGGTTGTGAGGTCCAGGTCCCATCCTTGCCCGCTGAGGCCCAGGCAGGGGTCAGGAAAGCCTCTGGACACTGGCAAGTGCCTGCCTGGAAGGCGTTATGGAAATGATGACTGTAAAACACAAGGCCAACTTCTCTCCTTTCTGTCCGACCTGTTCTCTGCAGATCAGGATGTGAGTCAGTGTCCTTGCAGATCTCGGGCGGGTTCACATTCCCACAGCGAAGGTCCCCGCCCCCTCAGGGTGGTGCCTGTGTGAGGGCACGGAGGAGCACAGGCATCGCAGGGAGACTACTGTTGGTTTTCTCTACCAGCGCCATCATCCAGGGCCTGATGCCAGGGTTGTGGGGATGGCTGCGGCCTCCAGTCGGCTTCAGGACAGCCGCACATCTCTGTTTGGTGCTTGTGTTGTATTTCTGTGCAACCAAACGAGTCCATGGCTCCAAGACTCCCCAGACGCTGCCGTTACACGGCACAGGCGAAGAAATTGTAATGTGTTGATTGCTTTGCACAGATGCTGATAGTCTGCTTGGAGGACTGGAGGAGAAACTGATTTGTCCCAAGACTTAGGTTTTCAGTGGGGAGACGCAGAAGGCTGGGATACATTCTTGATCTGTTTTCTTCTGATGGAAAAGCAGGAGGGCTGGGTCAGAGCCCGGGCAGGGGTAGATGTGGAGCCTGCCCAGTCCCCCTTTCCCTGGAAGTCCATTTCCTGAGCCAGCAGAGAGAAAGCTTAGCAAAGCAAAGGCAGGAAAACACTTGGCAACCAGGAGAGTCTGAGCAGGGGGCGCAAGCTGCAGAGATGAGCACAGCGTGGTCAGTGGTTGTCGTGAGCCCAGAGCAGCAGCTGCTGGGTTGGTTCCGAAGAAGCTCTGCCTCGGGGCTGGGAATAAGAACAGGAGGGAATTAAGCTGTGACTTATGGCATGAAGGGTTAGAGGCAAAAGTAGGATATTTTCAGAAAGTTGTTTTCTGTATTTAACCATCCTTTATTTTAATAAAAAACTGTGTTTTTCAACACGGAAAGAAGAACAGAAAACCAGCTTGTCTTTCAGTCCCTCAGTCTGTGGCCTGAGTCCAGATGACTGGTGGTGCTTAGTGGTTTATCTGCTCGTGGGCAGCATTTTGGTGGAGATGCAGGCACTTCAAGGGATTGAACAAATGACTTTTGGCCATATTTCTGAATCTCAGTAAAAAATGACAAATGCCTTGTTCCTGAGAGTAAAGGCTGCCTTTGCTTTTCCTCTTTTTAAGACAGGATTCGAATTAGAAGTAAAGCAGTCCACTGTGTGTCCGATAACTCCTAGATGTCGTTCTGTCCCTCGAGGCTCCCTGGGGTCCATAACTCTGCAGGGTTTTGGTCCCTGCCTGTTGTCTTGGGCCACACTTTGCAACTCACTGAGCTTTCCCGTTTGCAGAACCCGAGTTCCATGCGGTTGAACCCTACACCAAGAAAGAGCTTTCTGCCGTTACTTTCCCTGACATCATCCGCAATTACAAAGTCATGGCTGCGGAGAATATTCCAGAGAACCCCCTCAAGTACCTATACCCAAACATTGACAAAGACCACGCGTTTGGAAAGTATTACTCCAGGCCGAAAGAAGGTGAGTGGGGAGCGGGCCACGGCCCCTGGGTGGAGGCTGTGTCCTCAGCTGGGGTGGGTGACACAGGTACACCTGGCTGTTGCTGACCCACCACAGGCTTCCCAGCCCAGGGTCAGTGCCATTGGAATGAAATGTGTTACTTGGCCCGATGTAGCTCATAAGAAATGAAACCTAATTCATGGGTCAGGAGCACAGACAGTCTGTTTCTGGTCTTGTTACATTATCACTTTTCCCCATGAAGCGGGTAAAGGTTAGAATCACAGCCGCCCGATGTCTGCCAGGCAGCTCATGTTAAACTGAGGAAACTGAGGTGCAGAAGAAGGGAGCCCCCATCCCAGTTAGATCCTGTTGTTATTAATGGTTATTACAAGGGGGGGCCTTATCTTAGGATATGAGTCTTCTGCCTCTGGCTTGTCCGTGAGTTGCATTTGAAAAAGTTCAGCTTAGAACCATCTAACTTCCAAGGCCATAAGCCTTGGAGCACAGCATCACCAGCACAGCAGGTTGCTCTTCACGGTCAGAAGCCTCACCATGAGGATGGTTACCCTGGCGTGGAGATGCCCTCGGCTTACTCTGTATATCCACATCAGCCACACCAGAGCGTGCTTCCAGTGTGTGCGCTCCGCCTTCTTGATCGACCTTAGCCTGGCGGGCAGAAGCTCCCAGCAGGAGCCCTGCTGCAGTCCCCTCTGTCCTAGTCACTCTGCACCCCCACAGGAATCTCAGGCAGAGAGGCTCAGAGCCTCTGCAGAGATGCAGGACTCTACGTTGTCAAGGACAGCCGTAGTAGCAATGGCTCCGTCACTTGTGTTTCTGCTGATGGAATTTGTACTTGCTGTGCTTTCTTCCAGCACCAGAGCCGATGGAGCTCGATGGCCCTAAAGGAACTGGCTACATCAAGACTGAGTTGATTTCTGTGTCTGAAGTGTAAGTGAGTGCAGAAGAGTGGCATGCTGGGAACCTGGAGCCAGCCTGCAGGCTGGGGCCTCTCCATTGTATTTTGCTTTGCATTTTGCTGTTCCATTGTAACTGCTATTGCCTTCAAGGTTGGACTTCCTGGAGAGAGCCCAATTAGGATCCTGGTGTTACTGCCTTTAAAAAGCAAAATGCAAAACACAATAAAAAGCCAAAGTTGTATTGTAAAGTATATAAGTTCTCCCCAAACTGAAACTTGGAAAAAGTACAAATAAAATAAACTGTTTTTCAGTGGGAAAGTAGTTCTTTTCAGTCGAAGAAAGGCCAAATAATGATTGAGATCCATTTTCTCCACTTGCTTTTATTTTGTTGTTTCATTTTGTAAAAGGTAGAAAGAGTTTTGGGAAGTCCTTGTCAGTTATTTGGCCCGCAGCACTGTCTTGGGGTGAATGGATGTAGCCTTCATGTAAAAACCCTCTGTGGATCCACTTTATCTGCATACAGACATCAAGGTAGGGACGAGGGATTCCCCGGCTTCTCAGGTGCCTCTCTGTGCAGGGAGGCCAGGAGACGCTGTCCCAGGCTGGCGCTGCACACGCTTACCCGAGGCATCCCCAGGCAGAAGTGCGCAGGTCCATCTGGCTCTTGCTCCGCACACCTAGCATCCCATGCACTCCCCAAAGGGCCGGGCTGGGGACATTAACCTCCCACGACCTATGCGTTTTATTAAGTGTATGGACTTTCCCACAATAAAAGTACAAAGCGGTCAATCACAGAGAGGATAAAATGTCTGGATTTGCACCCTGCTTTCATAACACAAATGTTGACACCCCTCTCCTCTCTCCCCATTTCAGTCACCCTTCTAGACTTCAGACCACAGACAACCTGCTCCCCATGTCTCCCGAGGAATTCGACGAAGTGTCCCGGATCATGGGCCCCGTGGAATTTGACAGTATGGTGAGTAGTGGGGCAGGGCTGTCCCACCCTCTGTGACCAGTGCCCACTGGCACCAGGGCCAGGACGAGCCTCGGGCAGAGCCACGGAAAGGGCCTTTGTTAGATGAGTCAGGACGAGTTGGAGCCTGCAGTGTTTCAGCAGCCTATGTCCTCAGCAGGAGTTTTGATTCCTGACACCCCTGCAGAAAATAGGAGACACTTCAGATACTTAAGTCCCCCGGCATTTGAAGTAGAAAGTTCTACGTGTGGCAGAATGTCACATGTAAGGGTTGATACTTTTCTGATGAGAAAATGTTTTTCTCTCTTGTTACTTTGTCACCGCGTCTAAGCGTGCCATCTGTAGGAAGGAGCCTCATGTTGGGGCAGTAATACTTGGTGGCTACAGTAGTCATGCTTAGCTAGCAGCAGTGAAACGATCTCACGTGCTTTGTATAAATCTTTTTTTTTATTTGGAGAGCAAGTTTGGACACCAGCTCCTGAAGCTAGGAAGGGTTGCCCCAGAAGGCCCAGGTCAGGGACCGAGTCAGCGAGTTTCATGGTAGAAATACGGACCTGATTGTTTGCAAAGGCGAGATCTTCCTTTGGGGGAATGTTTTGCAGTACATCAAATAGTACTGTTTGCCTTTCAGCCTGAAATCCTTCCTCTTGAAGATTGTGTTTGGTTGGCTGGATTTTTGCTGATGCTATTTAATTTTAAGCTCTTTTCCACATGGAGTTATTCCAGCTCATTTTGAAAAGTTTGTTTAATGCTTTAGAAAAAAATCCTCTCAGAGTCATTACTGGCTTTTCATACCTGGTGCCTGGCAAAAACATGCGCTCAGTCATGAACGAGGAAGTTAGGGAGAAAGGGAGCTTGGGGATGAGAAGTCCCTGCAAACCCAGGGCCGTTAACCCATGTGGTGTGCTCAGGGACTGCATTTATGTGGCCTCAGTGTTGGCTACTCAGATCCAATCTCTCCTGTGTGACTTTTTCTCCATCCCTTTCCCCTACCTTATGAAGTTCAGGCTAAAATCTTTGGAGAGTGTAGTTTCTTATACCTTCCTGATTGTTGAGGATGACAAAGGTCACTTAGAAGAACACTTAGCTAGTGTGGCAGCTGTTGGCAGAATGAATCTTTTATCTGTGTATGGTAGCATCCCAGCCCTGTGATAGAAAGTGCTTTATAAGCCCGATATGAAAAATGGAGTAAATGTGAAGTCTAATTAGAAAACATAAGATAGATCAATGGAACAGGAGTGAACTTTACATCGCCTTCCTTCTTCCTGACTGGTTAGATCATCACCACCACCCGACCACGATTGCCAGGGCACTGCCTAAGCACCCGCACGGCCACGCCCCTGTGGAAGCCGTCTGCACGGTGTTGTAGGGTGGCAGCGTGGCCTCTGGGTGAGGGGCTGTAATTGGGATTTTGCGGGCAGAGTTCCAGTGATGTCATCGCTATTAGGCCCCATGACCTTGAGAAAAGAAGGAGATTAGCTCCCTCCATCTGGGCCCACAGTGGAACTGCTTTCTGTGGGCTCTCGGGTGGTACTGTGGGAACAATTTAAATATTGGAAGTAAAGGCCAGGAAGTGGGTTCGTGGTCCTTGGTGTCCCCTGCAGCCATTCCATTCCATTCCATTCCAAGTGATTTCATTCATTTATCTGTAAAATAAATCTCAGTCCCTTTCTGTCTCTCTCTTCATCACTTTCTCCCTCTCTCTCTGTCTCTCTGTCTCTCACCCCCCCACACACACACGTAGAGCCTCTAGATAAACCCATAAAGACCTAACCTAAAAGAGGCTGTAACACAGGAACCATCCTGTTAGATACAACAAAGCTTGGCTTAGTCTCTAAGCTGGGCTGACTGCCCTGTGGTTTGCTGTGTCCCCAGCCTTGTGACTTCCTTCAGCATCCACTCCTGGAATTAGGGCAAGTGCCAGAGATGGACGCCCCTGCTCGGAGCTGGTGACTTTCACCAAGTTGGGCTGGCAGCTGTGGGCAAGAGTGGCACCGGGAGCTGCTGTCCCATCCACCTCAGCAGCAAGAGGACCACAGGCTGCCAAGGAAGTTGTTCAGGGGGGTGGAACATCAGTGTTTTTTGCAGCGTGACTTGAGTTCGGCCTAGATTTCCAGTCACTAAACTTTCCCTCTGGACTACAGCAGAGCCAGGCCACTCTGAGAGCCCTTTGGCCAGAGTGCGGAGTAACAGGAGCATTTCTTCCTTGTCTCCTGGTTCCTTTAATTTACGCTGATTTATCTTTTTGACGAACCTGCCTGCTAGGGCCTGGCAGCCCACCTAATAGATGAAGACTTGTTACGTGAGTAGCACATTATGGTCACAGTGACAGGATTTGAATCCAGGCTTCCTTCTTTTCTGTCTCCCCCCTAAACTCCACCATCTCAACTCCAAGTCTGCGTGGCTGATGAGGCTGCAGCACAGGGGCAGCCTCCACAGTGATTTCAGACTGTGCCATGGGCCCTGCTTGGAGCCCCTGGGCCTTGGAGATGCTCCCGGAGGGGCCAGTCTGGTGCCCAGCATCTCAGTCTCCACTCTCCTGGCACCGGGCTCAGTGTCCTTTGCTGCGGAGCTGCTCTGTGCACTGTTGATGTTCAGGGTTGTCCCTGGCCTCTGCCCACTGGATAGATGCCAGCAGCACACACCAAGTCGTGACAAACAGAAAGGTCCTCAGACATTGAAAGGAACAGAATCGCCCCTCACTGAGAACCTCTGGTCTGGGGATAGATGAGTGTGACAGTCAGGGACCAATGGTGGGGGAAGGACCACAGCACTCTCTCTGCAGCTGGGCAGAGGCACGGGGGGGCAAAGGAGGTCTTAGTAATTCTGCTTCTCTGACTCGGACCCAAAGTACATTGTTTATTTTTCCTACTGAGTGACCTTTAAGGAAAAATCATCATTTCCCTCTCATCCCTCTCCTCTGGCATACAGCTCAGCATTTCTTCTTCCTTGTTTTGCATGAGCACATTTGTCACATTGCTCTGTCCCCAGACTTGCAAAACAGCAGAAAGCTTTCTGCCGCCTGGATGGATTCACAGAGCTAAGCCAGCCAGCTATAGAGCAGTAATCCTCCAGCTTAGGCGATCTAAAAGGCCTTGATTTGTCCAGGAAAATAGCTAGGACATGCTGAGGGCCCTGTAATCCCATGGTGGTTATTTGCTTGCTCTTGGAAGTATCTTCCTGCTGCCCCATTCCAGAGTGAACAGTAATGTGAAATGTGTGAATCTGCATGTCACAGGGTCAGCGTAACGAACTTACCCACGTTTTATCTTTTCACAGATGAATGCTGTATAAAGCGTGAATTTTTCTGGTCTCTGGCGACATTTTTCCTTCCCATCTGCAGTTCCCTCATGCTACTCTGTTCCTTCATGGCCTGTGTTTCTAGGGAAATGAAAGAAAAGACAACAGACTGCAACCTGTGGTCACAAGTGAATATTCCTGTAAGTCAGAACCATGCTACCCTGGAGGGCTTCATGCGTCTGTTGATGGTGATGCTGAAAGACACTCTCCACAGAGTGGATTTGCAAATGAAAAACATCCAGAGACCCCTGAAACCTCTGAGTAGATTGAGAGCCCTTTGGGAAAGGTGAGGAGTTCAGCAGCATCTGCAAAAGCTGTGCAGTCAGTGCCTGAGAGTCACAGGCGTTGGATGGATACACGGTTAGTTGCGGAGCTCCATGTAGGAATGGTGAATTTCTGCTCTTGACAATTCTATGCATTCTCTCTGCTTTAAGTATGGCTAGAAGTTTTGGATTGTTTTATTTGTGGAACAGTTCGGAGCCAAGTTGGGTACAGTTATACGGTGTAGTAACACTTTATCAAAGGTACCGATCTCGCATCTGAGTGGGGAAGGCAGAGGTTGTGCTCTTTATTATTTGTGTTTTTTTTGGTACCGGGGATTGAACTCAGGTCCTTGCGCTTGCGCAGCAGGCGGCGAAACCACTGAGCTAAATCCCCAGCCCCGTGCTCATTATATTTTCCACACTGGCTGCTGCAAACTGAAGACAAGTTCTGTCTTGAGAAAATTTGCCTTCTTCTGTTAGATGTGGCTAGTGCTATTGGCTAATAACAGTAGAAGGAAGTTTGGGCATTTCTCACATTCATGAGTAGTGAATTCTGCTTAATCTTTAATATCCAACACTGAGTGTATTCCGCTTTTGTCTCCATCACCAGTGAGTAAAATTGTGACCTTCTGTCAAGAGAGCCAGCCTATCAGCAACATCTCCCTCGAGGAAAAACTTTTTTTTAATTGAAATTCTTTTATAGATTGTAGATAAAGCCAGAAATGTAACTCATGCTTCTTTTTTGGGGCGGGTGGGGGTACTGGGGATTGAACTCAGGACCTTGAGCTTGCAAGGCAGGCGGCAGCACCACTGAGCTAAATTCCCGGCCCTTTAACTCACATTTCTTTTTTCTTTTTTTTGGTACTGGGGATCAAACTTGGGACTTTGCGCTTGCAAGGCAGGTGCCGGAACCACTGAGCTAAATCCCTGGCCCCTAACTCACATTTCGTAAGTGGCTTGTCTTTATTGTTAGTAGCTGGTAATCTCAGCCATACAGTTGAGAATGGAGTAGAGAAAGTAGTAACTGACAACTTGAATCCTTAACCAGAGATAATGTGAGAATCCAGTGTCTCAAAAACTTGTGTCCTTTGTACCTGCACTGAGAACTCCATCTTGTTCGCCGATAAATGTGTTTTCTGACAAGTACCCTTGCAATGGCTCCGTGATCTGTCCTGAGCTTTCTCCAGGCCCTTTCTGAAGGGGCTTGTGGTTTTCCCTCCCTCAGCTCTGACACCCAGAGGTTCCGGGGCACGGGGAGGGGTTCTGCTAATGACTGCACACCTCATGTCTCCATCGTCACCCCACAACCTCTCTGTTGTAGAAATGCTTTGGTTTTCTTTGGTGGGGATACAGTTTTCTTGAAATCTGTTTTGAAAGTTGAGCTAACGTATACACGCTGCATTAAACACAACCTGCGCACAGTACAGTGCTACACACAAATTGAGGCCTCCTGTCCGTTCTTACCTAAGACAGCATGAACCTGGCTGGGTTTTGGTTCACTCTTTAAGTGGAAATGATAAGACACAAGACAACATTTTAAGAAATAATTGTTTATTTGCTGAGATTTAACTATTTGCCATATTTTTGTCCTGTAAGAATGATATGGCATGCTTTCATTTTACCAGATTCCTGGCTTCTAAAAAGTATTAAAATTCTAATGTTAGTCTCTCATGAGCATTTAGTATAAAGATTTTTAAAGTTGGCCTTGTGAATTGGTTTAATATTTACCTTATTTACATATCAGTCCTCATTTTCACATAAGATGAATAATACTATTTTCCTACTTGTCATTCTTATCTACCCTGCTTCTAATCAGAGCTGTGGCAGGTTGAGAAAGACCGATGGGAGAGAGGGGTTTATATTCATGTGTAATTGGCCACTGTAAGAATCACTGACCAGACCCTGGCTGAAGGATGTAGTGGTTTTTTGGGGGGTTTTTGGTACTGGGGATCAAACACAGGTCCTTGCACTTGCACAGCAGGTGGCGAAACCACTGAGCTAAATCCCTGGCCCGGATGTCCCATTTTGACAAGGCCTGGTGCCTGTACTGCACTGGCAGGTTTGGAAGGAGCTCTCGACCATTTCCCTTCCACTGGTACAGGCCCACTTGCTCTGAGTGGATTGTCTCCTGAAGATCTTACTGCTTTTTCCTTTAGAAAGGGGAGGGGGTGTTGGAAACAAACTGCATGTGTACCACTTGGAATAAACCTACCATTTCTAAGCAACAAATTTTCTGAGATGGCAGTAAGTTAACAAGCAAAATACATATTTGCCTACAAACTAAACTATTATATGAAGGCAAGTCTTAATAAACAGAGCTATTCTCTGTCACATCTGATTGTCCCAGGGGAAGGACAGGAAAAAACTACAGCATTTTGAAAATTCTTGTAGCTACCATTTAAACCGTGCACTATTCCCAAAGTAAAGCCATATTTACTGGAAGCATCTTTTGGTTAAGATTCATTCAGGTATTAATGCATCAGATAAACGTACACTGAGCTGCCACGAGTCAGGCACTGGCTAGATGTTTAGAAAATGCTGGTAAACAAAACAAGGACCCCTATGCTTGAGATCCTAAGTTGTTGTAACATACTGGGTCAGATAGTCTAGTGCAATCACCTAACCTACTAAAGCTTAAGATTTTGTGAAGCAAACATAGCCAAAAGCTACAAATAATTTAAATGTAATATATAAAAATTAGTTTTAGAAAATGACATTTAAATCAGTTTTAGGAAGCCTAAAGATAATCAGTATTATTTTTAGAGCTGTCTAAGAGAAGTTTATTGAGCTCATAAGTGATACTGATCCCCAGCGCTTGCAAATTTTGGTGAAGGTGTTTGTTATGCTCACTGAGAAATTAAACTCTGTTTGATTTATTGTCCAAAAAGGAACCATACTTATTTGAATATGCCTGAAATGTAGCAAGCTGTCAGATAGCCTGTCGGCAGACTCCCGCCGAGTCCTGTACTTCATGATGCTGCCATAACACTCAGACCTCCCTGTCAGCATCTGTCTGCAGCCTTCCTTGTTTCATGATGTGTTTGCTGTTCTGGCTGCCTGGCTGCCTCACTTCGGAGCAGGCTTGTTATTGACCATTTGGAGAGACAGCAAGGGGTGTGGCCTGCCTCACACAGCCGTGGAGTTGGGCTCAGGCTTGGGAATAGAAGTAAAATCCCCAACCTCTACCTTCAGTGCTTTCCATCCAGCTGCTGTACCTGATCTCACTCCTGTTTTGAGTAACTTCCTTAATTTTCTAAACCGTCTCATCCCAAAACAACACACACCTTGTCTAATCTGGTAAATTACATCCCTTCCAGACATAACTGTAAAATCACCTTTCCCCAAAAACCATGTTTTAACTGCTACCTAATATATTAATGGGCTGCCTCTCCGAACTATGCTTTATAAATTTACTATGACCTATGAATAATACTGTGAGGATTAGCAAGTAAAATTAGAAAGATTATCCCCATCCCACAAAAATAAAATGATCTTTTTACACAGCAGCACATACAACTTTTCACAGCTGGCTCACCTCGGTGTCTGATCTCTGCACTGCTGTCCCTCTGTGGGCGCCTGCATACTCAGCGGGGCTTGAGCACATGTCAGGATGTAATGCTGTAGCACTTCTGCCTGTCTGTGACACTCAGCAGAGACAGGCTCAGTGGCACACACCTATAATCCCAGCATACGGGAGCCTGAGGCAGGAGGTTGCCAAGTTCAAGCCCAGCCTGAGCAACTTAGCAATTTAGCAAGACCCTGTCCTACAAAATTTTACAAGATTTAGAAAGGGCTGAGGAAGTAGGTCAGTGTAAAGGATCTAGGTTCAATCCTCAGTACTGTAAAAATCAAAGATCACCTCAGGTGGCCTAAGTTGTAAGTTCAACACATGTTCTACCCAAGCTGCGTGAGCTGTGCTGTAGGATGCAGAGGAAGCCCTGGGGCTAAGGGTCCTGCATGGAGGCCTGTTCCTGGGCCCAGCTTCACTGGAAGAGTGGGTTAGATAAGGGAACTTCTGGTATGTCTTCCTTTCCTAAAGTGTCAGTAATGAAGACGGTAAACACCCTGGCTCCTGTGGCCGAGCAACTTAGTCTGTGAGAAAGCACCTTGATACATGAAGACATGGTATTCGCCCACCCCGAACCCTGAAAGGACACCAGCGGTTCCCACAGGAGGAGCTAGGCACGAGATCTGGCTCACCAGCTCGCCCAGCTCAGGTCCTGGCGAGGCCGCCTGGTTCAGCTCTCCATGTAGATCTCAAGGCCTTGTGAAAATTACCTTTCCTCTCTTTCAAGACTAAGTTCAGTGGTTCAGTTAGACAAGCATTTGCCTACTTTGTAAGCTTCTCCAAACCGTGGGACAGAGGACTGGAAATGCATCTCCCAACCCCACCTCCCCAGGACGAACTCCTTGTAGGACTCTCCTCCTGGTCATCAAGGGAATCCCACCTGACACCCTGCATACTGCCTGGCTCAGAGTAGACATTAGAAGTGGCTCTGAGAAGTGGGGGTGGCAGTGCTGTAATCCCAGCTACTCTGAGGCTGAGGCAGGAGGGTTGAAAGTTTCAGGCCAGCCTTGGGGCAACTTAACGGCACCCTGTCTCAAAATATAAAGAGGAAAGGACTAGGAATGTAGCTTCATGATAGAATGCCCCTGGTTTGATCCCCAGAGTCATAAAAAAGAAACAAAAATGTGTTTGAACCATCTGGACACAGTACCTGTGTTCAGCAGATTACCAACCCAGTGACAAAAGAAAACTTTGCAAGAAGATTCATTTTTCACAGGTTTTTTTTGATACATGTATTTATTATGCTGTAAAAAGCAACGCTACCTGATTTCATTTAAAATAAACGTTTCCCAATTTCAGAATACTTAAAATTCATAGTTTCAAGATTAGATTCACTTTGGGAGATGTTGGAAGCAAATACATTCATAGCTGTGTAACCCCAGGAAGAACCTAACTCCAACATCAGGCCATTCAGTCCCTACCAGACAGACAACAGATGAACGGCTGATCCAGCTCTGCATCTAACAGGCGCAGGGGGTGGGGGTGGGTCAACAGGATGAGACGATCAGAACTGAGACCAGCAAAACAGCAATGCATACAAAGCTATAAATCAACAGGACCATCTAAAACTCTACAAAAAGGCCATGGGATCCTAGAGCCAAACAAAACTCTGGAGTTTACTGATGGCAGCAATTAACAGCATGTTCAAAAAGCATTTAAAACAATGTACTCATTATTACCAGCCAAAAGCAAAGAGGCAGAGCGTAAATAACACGGATAAATAGGGGCATACCGTGCTACACCACAAAGGTTTTACAAAACAGTTTTGATTTGAAAAAAAAGATGAAGAGATGAACTCTTGTTATCAGAGAAAAGCCTCAAAATCACTGGTAGTCTTCAAGCCACACAGTGGAACCGCCTTACTATTCCATTCAGGCACACGAAGAAAGCTGCTATTTGTGCAAAGTTATCTCAGTTGATTTCAACCCCAGTGCAGTCAGTTGCAGTAGACCCAGGGCTGGTGCTGCCCACACGGCATCTCTGGGGACCTGACTGGCCTGTGGGGAGTAAGAAGCAGTGGCAGGACTGGATGCCCAGCCTGTCCCCGGCATGGAAGCGGGCCTGGGAATGTGACCCAGTCTCACCCAGGGAGGTGCTGTCTAGGAATGAAGCAAAGCCAAAGCACCTGGAGGTTGGTGGAGTGAGTGTGTAATAAAGCTTGGAAACAGCAGTTTGTGCTGATCAGGGACCAAAAAGGAAATGGCCTTCTGAATGTGGTAACAGCTAGCATTTGGGTAGTTGAGATTTTTGTTCATTTTGTTAAACATAGCTTCAAAAAAGTCCATTTGGGTGTGTGTGCGTGTGCTGGACACGTGCTTAGGATCAGAAATCCTCAGTAACATACCCCTTTATCTCTTTGAGGCATGAGAGGACAAAATGTATGTGCAAGTCCTAGGAAACTGTTATTTCCATTCTGAAGACCCCTTTTACCCACTTTCTAAATCATGAATTCACTCCCTTAGAGAAGTGATGGGTCTCAATTTAGTGAAATGGCCTTTTCTTACTATTGAACTACAGAGTCCACTGAAAATTATACAACTGAGAATCAGCAGACATGTGGAGCAATCTAGTGGTCCCCAAAGGGGACAAATATCTTGGTGCAGACTTTGAACAACAGGTTCTAAAACAAATGTCATCTGCCCCAGTTCCCATATCATCAGAACGACTTTGGGAGCGTAGAACATTTCTAAACGTGTGTATAATTTCTTTGAGAGCCACAGAAGCACACACCTTCATTTTTTTAGACTTATGAAGTGGACTAGTTTATACTTAGCTTAGTATTTGGTCTCTGGTTCATCCTCTATAGACAAAGGGTGAAGTGCTAGCTCTGATGCCAGAAGTGCGAGGTGTTTTCTGACTGACTGGAAACGTGAAAACTGCATAGTTCGCCAGCATTCCCTGTCCCGGGCAGAGGGACAAGGCAGATAGCTAACACCTGAGGACAGGGGCCGGACTGAGGGGACATAGAAAAAGGAAAGTTTTTTCAAAAGTATAACTATATTCACACATACATTTTGGTCACCAAACATATCTTAAACAGATTCCCTGATAAAGTAATCTGAATTTACATATCCTACTAACAGTTGTTAACTATTACGTTTTTTAAAGTTACATCATGAATTGAGGGTGATAGGAGATATTTTAAACATTCAACCCTAAGTGCATATTGTTCAAACACTCAAACTAAATCTATATTTGAAGTCTTGAAAATCACACGGTTTGTTTCTAGAGACAGCCTCGACCCCTCGGGACAGACTGTACAACAGTTTAATTTGTAAATGCAATCAGCAGGTCATCACCATAAACTGAAAGTTCACGACACACACAAATCATGAGGACCACACAGTTAAGCTAGCATTGGTAACTATTTCTTTTACATCAAATTGTACAATGCACGAGGTAAATATTGATCACATTATGGAGGGAGATGTTTTATTTCTATTTTTTCCCCAAAGAGATCAGATTTGTCCTGTGCGCACAATGAAGAAAACTCCAGTAACACTGAAATGAACAAATGTGGTAAAATATACATCACTACCAGATAGAAATACACACGTTCTTCATAATCATTTTCCACAATTAAATAGGTAAGTGACTTCAACCTTGGGATTTAAGACTTTTATAACAATCCATCAAGATTCTTGTGGACGGTTTGATTTTCCTTTCCACTGTCGGCATCTCCTTGAGGTGTGTACTGGGTTTGGTATTCCTGGAGGATCTTAAACACATCATGGTGTCCAAAGTGCAAAGCTTCATCCATGGGAGTGTTATTCCACCTAAGACAGGTGACACAGGAGGGCAGGTCACTTTCTATATGAAGGTGAGTGTCCTGCATTCCTAGGTTTTCAGTGCAGGCTAAATGGCCATTCAGATTTAGCCACTAAGTATAAATTAAAAGGAAATGCAGAAAGGGATTTATAATTCAAAGAGTGGTCTCAGACATAAGTTGGGATGTGAGGAGGAAAAGGATCTCTATAAAAGAATCTTGTTTGCACTCCCAAGGGCTTAACCGGGATCTTTATAAGGGAAGTCCTATTACTGACAGAAATAATAGACATATCTAGGGTTCCTGAATTGTAGCTCCATGAAAAGCCCAATGGGTCTCTTTTAAAATAAAATGGTAAAAGAAAAAAAAGCAGGTAAATAACATGCATCATCCTAGCCTTTGACAAAAACTCTGTGATCCCATCCATTCAAAGATCACGTGAAATCTCAGGAGGCTGGAAATGATCGTGGTGTCACAAGCGCTTAAACACACTGCAGGGGCAAGACTGGCCCTCAGGAAGTGACGCTTTCTTCTTCTCCGGCCTGGATGGGAAGTGGTGCCCCACTGGACCACTGCTGACCGGAAGACTAACTTCCCTTCCGCACTCGGTGGTGCTCCAAGCTGAGCAGTGAAGATTGCAGGAGAAGTGAAAAAGACACAGCACCACAAAAGCCAGGGGCCCAGCCAATGACAGAGTGCACCTGGGTTCCTTAACATGGCAAACCATGAAGCCAACTTCCCACTCTAAAGGCCCGGGCACTGACTTCCTGTGGCTGCTGGGTTTGTATCCCTGGACTCCTGGTCACCCTCCTGCCCCTTCCTGTGTCCTTTCTTTTCCGTCTCCTCAACCTTTTAGCCTCTTAATGGGGGTCACAATGTGAAACCAAGAGGTGTTTAAAGTTCTTAACATTTTAGGTAACCTTAATTTTTAAAATCAGGTAAGTAACACTTTATGCGTATCTTTGTGTTTCTCAAAAAATGGCAGAACTGGTGGTGTTGTGCTCCTCTAAAGGCCTGCATTAGTTCAGGGAGTCAGCGGTTTTACACAGGGACTTTTCAGTCATCCTCAACAGCAAGTGATGATGTGAGTTTCTGTAAACAGTGCCGGCTGCAAGTTACCATTTTCTATGCAATAAGAAAAGAATTATCTTGAGTTTCCAGCTTCTCTTTTGCAATATAGACAAAGGTGCAAGATGTAGTTACCAAGTTAGTTACTTAGCTACCTAACTTTCCCTGTCACAGGGTATTTTTACTTCCACAATCATAGAGGCCAGTTTTGGGGACAGGAGTTCCAAATATACAAAGCACAGTAAGTACAGTATTTCCCAGGTGTATTAAATACTGCTTTAGCCAGAACTGTAAACCCAAGGAAACACACTTTACACTTCCTTGCTCTAAAAAGAGCTGATGGCTGTTGCTGAGAAGTGGGCTGGCAGCCTAATGAGGTTTTGGAATAAGGTCATTTTGATCATGGTGTTTTTAACAATTGCAGAGATAACGTTAGATAATCAGATTGTTACCACACTCACAAAATAGTTAACAACTTCTCAGGCACTGGCATCGTAACTTTTCTCATTTCTTGAAAGGTGAACCATTAAGACCCAGGCCTCCATTAAAAGCAAAAAGTTACAGCGTAATAAACAGGTCTAAGTGCTGGAGAGTAATCAGGTTGCTGCAAACTTACTGTAGCTCCCATTTCTCAACTCTAACCCCGAAGCCCTCAGACCTGTCAGCCCCTCCATCAAGCACTTTCTCCTTGTAAATTCTTGGAAACTTATTCTCCCTGCCACTCCAACACGTAATGTCCAAGCACATGAGGACAGAGGTCACTGCACAGACAGTGTGGACCTCAGTGGCTCGGCAGCCCTGCCCTGCCCTGCCCACTGGACAGCATTTGCTACAGGACGTGTCAGTCTGCCATGTGAACCCCGTGGAGGGGAGAGGTGCAGGCTGCACCCTTCCCACTGCTCGAAGAATGCCCTCCTTCGTTCCACGCCTTCCAATCTCATTCTTCTCCAAAGCACTCGTTAAAATCCAACCTCCACAAAGCCACCTAGAATGGATTCTACCTAAATCTGGGGATTTCAACAAAATCCAAGATACTCTCAAGTTCTTGTGTATTTTTTTTTTTACTTAAATTCTTTTATTGGCACATTTTAGGTGTGCAATACATTTACATTTATCATTGGGTGCTTGTACCTGTACAGGATGTATCTTGGTTATTTTTTCCCCATTACCTGTGCGCCCTTCACCCCTAAATCCTTCCCTATTTACATACTTGGTTTCCATTTTTTTTTTCTTTTCTCATAATTTTTCCTTTCCATTCTTCCCTTTCCCCATCTCCTCCCACTACCGCCACCCCTTTGGACCTTTTCCTATTTCAAAGTATCAATTATTAGTTATTAATCCTTTTAATCCTTATTTACACTCTCAGTTTCTCACACTAGAGAAACTATTTGGTATTTACACGTGTGTCTTATTTATTTCACTTAAGAGGATGGCCTCAATATGCATCCATTTAGCTACAAATGACTAGTTTCTCATTCTTTATGGCTGAGTAGTTACACATGTATTTTTATGTGATTCTGTAAATGTTCACCTTATCTGCTGGATGTGTAGTTAAAAGCCCCATGAGGACAGAAATCCTAGTTCTCTTTCCAAACACAACTGTCTTTTTCAAACAGTGACTTGATAGGCAAAGCTGAAAACTTCCAAACAATGTATGGTCCTTAGCTAAGAAACAGGATACAGGAGATAGAATAATCTATGTAATCTGTAAAGACACCGTAACAAATTCAAGAACGCCATGGTGGTGCATATACCATCACATGAACACACCAGTCCTGCATCATAAAAACCTGACCTGCCAATTACATTAGAAGGGAATATAAGGGCTGGGGATTTAGTTCAGTGGTTCCGCTGCCTGCCTCACAAGCACAAGGACCCAAGTTCAATCCCTGGTACCAAAAAAAAAAAAAAAAGAATATAGATGCTCACCTGTCTTTGGGGAAAGGATTTACTTTGCAAGCTTCCAGCAAAAATTTAACAACTTCAACGTGACCTATACCCACCCAAAACAAAAAAAAGATTTTAGTTTTGAGTAGAAATTAAGTCCAGAGAAAAAAGCAGGAATGGCTTATGTATTACCCTCTGCAGCAGCTACATGGAGTGCTGTTCTGGAATCGTAGTCCCGCTGTTCCATATCCATGGCCGACAACGCAAATCTGAAAATTCATAAGCACAGCTATTCATTACACAGTAAATCTAATTCACACCTGTAGCATTTACTCTATCACTACAGGCCAAGGGCCCCAGGTGCCTAGCCTCACCTGACTCGAGACCGGTAACTAGAGCCCCATCCGCCAGGACACAGGTGTCCTGCCTGGGAAAATGCTACTCTACCTCCATTCCTTAGCTTCGCTCTTTTGGGGTAAGATGAAACATTAACCATCTCTCATTCAAACTCAACAAACAATGCCACAACTCTGCCAACGTTTAGGGGCTGGGTCTCAAAAGGGCAAGAAACTAGTATCTAGTGATGTGTTTTCACTGAGTCTCCCACTGTTTAAACAGACACCTTACAGTCTATAGTCTGCGTGTACTAAGCAGGCTTGAAACAAGCATGGAAATGAGGCCTAGACACTTTCCACTTGAAAGCTCAGATGCAACCCTATACAAGCACCTTATATTCATAAAGTGGAAGAATACGGCCTTTCTAATCCTGGTGATCTGCTGGACACTGAATGCGTCCAGTTAAAGCAAACCATTAATACTAGTTGGCCACTTCCCACTGGGGGAAGAAAAATCTGGGCTTTTAAAGGAGAGAGAAAGGACAAGACTGGATAGCAAGCCTTTGTCACTGGAGCTGGGGATTTAATATATATTGTTCAGATCATTTTTACTAAAGAGAAATGGCCGTGAACCCTTAGTGTGTGCTTGCTCAGAAGGAATTTTCTAGGTGCCTGCAAACCACATGCTGATCCACCTGTTAACATACCTTCGAAGAGCGGACACATCTCCAGTGTACGCAGCAAACAAAAGGTTTATCACTGACTTGACCTGCGAAGAAAAGAAAGTTCAGAGCTCCACAGGAGCACACACAATGCCCAGCTATCCCAGAAGTATTTCCATGCACTTTGAACACTTCAGCCAATCATGAAGTTATCCCAAGAGCTCTTCCAAAACTGAAAGGACACACACGGTGTGTCCCACACACATGAGGGAAAATTCATAAAGATGTGCACAGGGGAGGGAACAGAACGATGATGTCCGCTCACACAAAGAAACGGGCACTCAGTCTGAGATCTCCGCACTTGGGGCGACTTTACAACTCTTCTCATTTAGTATGGCTCAGTACTGTGGTCAACTCTATACTGATCAAATTCTCATCACATCCTTATTAAAAACAGAATCATGCTAGGTAAACGTGTTCCCACTGCCAGCCATCACTTTCCTCACCAGTCACAGGCTTCCTTGCATCTTAAGGGACAGAAGTCAGTGTTTATCATCTTAAATTTAACAATGGGGAAAAGAGGGCTGTACCATACTCCCTGGGGTCCAGGCGAGTGCCCAGATGGTGCAAACTGGGGCCTTCTTAGAACCCACGGCACTGCTTAAAAGGTGGGTGAACTCCCAGATATTAAGTCACTGTCACTGGGTGGGTCAAGACTCACAGTGAATATCTCGATAGTTAAGCACTTTCTTGTTCTTACAATTAAAGGGAGAATGCTAGTTATCTTCAAAGGCCACTCGTTTCTGGTTTGCTTTCATACTTTATCCAACTCTGCTTAGGAAAAACTCCACTATTGATCATCTGTTTGTAAATACTTCATACATTCCCAATTTTGTCTCACACTTTGCAACTTCAACATTCATACTGATGCCACAACTAATACTGGTAGAAAAATTAATTTTAATTGGAGGGATGGAAGGTAACTCGGCTCTCCATGAACAAAGCCATGGCCCTGGAGCTGTGCTTCAACATCTGAAACCAGAGCTGGGTGTATGGGTCCACACCTGTAATCCCACCACTGAGGAGGCTGAGGCAGGAGGACTGCAAGTTTGAGTGCCACTTGGGCAACTTAGTGAGACCTTGTCTGTCTCAAAAATCCAAAATAGGGCCAGGGGTGTAGCTCAGTGGTGCCACACCTACCTGGCAAGCACAAGGTCCTGAGTTTGATCCCTGGTACCGAAAAAAAAAAAAAAAAAAAAAATCAAACATAAAAAGGCTGGGGATGTAGCTGAGTGCAAAGACCAGGGTTCAATCCCTGGTGCTGCAAAAAGAAAAAAAGATCTGAACACTGGAATCCTCCCTTTGCATGACAGTTTCCCTTTCACACAACCTGGGAACGTGTAAACTACGAACTGACAACTGCTGGGCTTCTCTAACAGCATTTTCAAGTGTGTCTTATAGAAACTAGCCCACAAGGTGCTCTGTGGAAGTGAGGGTTCTGCTGGATGTATTAAATCTCTTGGTGGTTCATGAACGTGTGAGAGCTCAGCAGCTATCTAGCTAGCAGAGCTGCACACCCCAAAAGGCCACCACTTATGCATGTGTCAGCATCTCTTCCAAGCCACCTTACCTCTGTCCCTCCGGCCCACTGGCTTCTCGCTATGCCCAGCACCCCGAAGCTAGCCCGTAAGAGTTCAGAACTCTGTCCGGCAGGAGAGAGAATGTCACCTGGGGTGCTCTGACACATTTACCAGCATCTCTCCTGGGTCCAGTTGTTGGACCCCTGCACCTCAAACTCACAGTCCAGGCAAATGAGGTAAACACAGGATTTGGGGTGTTGTGTTGTTTTCATCTCTAGGTGACTGATTTGCTCCTGGGTTATAAACCACTACTCCAGATGCCTTCCACTTTATTTCCCTCTCAGTAGGATCACTTCCAGATCCTCAGTTCCCTTCATGCTTAGGCCACAGGGTACTGACCAGCTGTTAAGAGAATCTTCATCCTCCCACTAGTCTCTTGACGATTTCTTGGCAGTTCCCTTCATACTTTCTTTAGGCCTTTACTACCAATGGTGACCTTAAAACAGGTGATATTCACCAAAATTTTACTGAAAGATGAAACACTGTTCTCATGTCTCCCCTCACTCGTGCAAAACACTTGCTAGTAGCTACCCCTTCTTCCTTCCCACCATGCCTCAAACCTGAAAGCATCCTCCTCATTCCCGAGAATTGCTTCCTCACCTCGTGCTCCAGATGTATTCTCCAGACCCTGTGACCTGCCCGTGCCTCTCCTGCTCCTACCATCAACTTCTCCCTCCTCCACAGGACCCCGTCTACCTGGACAGTCACAAACTCATCCTATTCGGAAAAACCAACACTTGGTCCCATTGCTCCCCACCTCCATGAACATTTTTATAGTTTATATTTTTAACTCTGTGGGAATGACCGCCACATCACCGGAGCTCCAGCAGCTCCCCGACACCCCGAGTCCTGCTCACCGGACACTCCCCAAGCCCATCTTCCTCCATGCTGCAGACCCCCCCTTCCCCTCCCCTGGCTGGCTGCTCCATGGGAGCATGGCCCACTGTCTGCTGCTCACTGGACTCCAAGGGCCACTCCAGCTTCTTGATTTTTAGCATGGTGTCCCTCAGAGTTCCCTGTCTTCCTCCCGCAGAATGACTTCCCAATCCAGACCTCACATCCAAGCAACTGTCCCTAAACTCCAACTCCACAGCTCCACTTGAGTGTCACCCTGACGCTTCAAACTCAAAATCAGCAACAGCCCGAGAGCCCGTGCTGCACAAGTCCGCGCTCACCTGCCTACCAGATGTCACCTCCAGGAGGCCTAACAGGCACCTCAGCCTAAGGTCCAAAGCACAGCGACCAGCCTGGCTTCCCCACCTGCACTTGGCTCTTCCCGGCTCCCACCTGGGGATGACACGATAGTCCCCTCTTGCTCACCTACAACGCGAGCATCACCCGGGGCTGCTGTGTTTGCTCAAGGACCTTGGGTCCTCCACAAGTCACCAGCCCAGCCCCAGCTCGGCTTCTTCCCATGAAGGTGAGTGTTTCTGCTGGGAGGTATACCACACCCTAAAATGTAGGCAGGATCTGCGTCTTTCCAGGCGCGGAATTATTAACCCATACAGGATTATACTGATCATATGTTAATATGATCGTACAAGATCATCTTCCTTGATTCTGGGCTCTCACAACCCACACCTAACACCTGGACAGCTCTTTCCTCTACCTCCAAAGTACGCCTGCATCTCTCCCCAGTGCTCTCCTTTTTGCTGTTTATTTTCGTTTCTTTCTTTCTTTTTGAGACAGGCTCTGTGTTGTTCAGGATGGTCTTGAACTCATGTAGCCCAGGCCAGCCGTGAACTCCCCTCCAAATATTGAGACTGGGTTTCTTCACTCCTCCCACCTGGTGCACCTGCTTCTACTCCTACCATCCAGAATATCGCACACACTTCTAATCATCTTCTAACACTGCTCTGATCAGTTTCTAAGCAGAGGGTGTCAAGAGACTCCAACATCATTGGTGATAAAATTTAAATTCTTTAGCTTTGCATCTGCGGCTCTTCAGTCTGGCTTTTCTCTCAACCTTGAGACAGTGAAACCAGCCTCTCCTGGTACCCCGTTTTGTCTGGGTGTCTCTGATAACTCCCAGATTCCCAGTCAACCCTCCCCTGCCTCCCAGGCCTGCCTGAAATTCTTTCTCGCAGCCACACTTGCACAGGGAGGCCACCCCTGCACCCATCATCCACACCGCTTGTTGCCAGTCGCCCTGTGACAGCACGTACCAAGGCAAGGACAGGCACCAATGAGAGGCCTCCTCTGCCTCCCCAGCCCTTCCCAGCCACCGCGCACACTAGGAATCCCATCTCCTGAAAGCACCTTGTCTCTGCCCGTTTCTCATTGAAATGTTATTCTCTCCAGCCCCGTGAATGGTTCTCCAAGTAATGTCCTGCTACATTGCCTCCCTGTGGCAACGTCACACATGCCACATGGTACATTTCTGTGTCTTACCTCCCCACTCCTGAAGAAAAGGCTGCCACCCAGTGCTTTCCTCCCTGGGGGAGAGGAACACTCATTTGTGACCAATCTCCTGACTTTCACAAAGTGAGCGTCCTGTTCTCCAGATAGGAAAGCACTAGAAGGCAGCACGTGCATGGGCATCATTTAAAACCAAACCCACAAATGCCCTTCATGCCAGCAAACAGCCACTGATATTCTAAGGTATATAAACCTTGAAATGAGCTATGGGTAGGATGCTGAGCAAGAAAGTGAAACTGGGTTAACAGCTGTGAGACAACAGAGGCAGTGTTAGGTCACTTAGGGCCAGTTCATTTCCTGCTCTGTGAAAGAGTTCTGCCCATATTCCCGAGTAGAAGGACACACACTCTGCAATCCGCAATGGCCGCCACAGCGAACTCCCCAAGGAGAGGGTCCCGGCCCAAGTTCACTCCTCCACCTTCAAGGCACGCCTGTGAGAACTAAGGCGCTAAACCTGACGCAGCCATGTCCCCTGCTGGCTACTTCAGTCACGTTAGTTTTAAAACACCCATCAAGAAAGCCAAGGTCCACAAACAATGGCCAACAGTAACCTCCAGGCATGTAACACGCGAAGCCTGGGCAAGGCAGACGACACAGGGAGGCAACACAGCCTCTGGGGCTCACGCTCACTGGATGCCACCCACAGGAGCCAGAAGCTCCATCTGGGGAGTCACTAAGCATTTATTAATTAAACGTCAACAGTTTTCCCTTCACCTTGCCGATTTTCCAGTACTACTGTTTTTCTTATCATCTGTTAGAACCTGCGGGAACCAGACAGCCTTATCTTAGTTTATTTGTACAAGTCATGACAACGGAGGACAAAAATGTTACAGTTCACAGAGTCCATTTAACACTGGCATGCCTGCTGTACCAGAACCTCACTGTTTTCCATGACAGCTAGAAGCAGGTAGCGATTCTATCAATTTTACAGGTCCCACGTTGACCTGTAAAATTGTGTAAGAAGCTAACTTGCCTGCCTTGCAATTATTAGTTATATCATCACATCACTTTGTACTTACATAGCAGATGACCCTAACAAATTCAGTAAA